AACGCGCACAACACACAACACACGCACAACACACTTAGCACACACAACACACACAACATACCCAACACACACACAACACACACACACACAACACTCATAACGCACACAACCCGCAACACACACACACACGCAGCACACACAACACTCATAACACACACACAACCCACAACACACACAACCCACAACACACACAACACACACACACGCACACCCCGCACACAGCACACACAACACGCACACACAACACACGCAACACACACAACACACGGCACACAGCCCACAGCACACAGCACACAACACACAGCACACAACACACAGCACACAGCCCACAACACACAGCACCGAACAGCCAGCACAGCACACACAACACAACGCACAGCACAATACAATACACTGCACACACAACACCGCGCACACTCCTCTGGAAGGCTCTGCAGGGATCATCAACTCTTTCTCACCATCCGCAGATATACTCATGTGGGAAAACATGTACATTATTCTCTTTTCCATATTTCAAGTTACAGATATTACAAACACATTTTATATACCATCAATATTATTCATCAGTCCAAATATAAAAAATCAATCTTAACTAGTATGAAATGTTTGAAAAGAAAGAACAGCTTGAAGGACTAAAATTTCAATACTAAAACAGATCTGTTATCGTGTTATGCATTTGTCCGAACTAATGCCCAGAAAGTTGATGTGAGCATAATTGGTTTGTATGATCTGACTCTAATCGCGACCATATCGACGAATAAGGTCTGTTTGTGCATTATGCGACCATTCTCTCAAACCAGAGTTGGTCGACTTGCAACTCTAACTTGGCTGACCAAGTGCCGGCCGCGTGCATCGCGAATTCATCCGAACCTCATCCTCTGACTACATCTTGATAAGTACCCACCTTCGGCCTAGCTCGAGGGCGACCATGCTTAGGGCCACGTCACATGTGCCGCCGCTCCAACCAGACCCAAAAAGACCCGAAACCCAAAGTCCACCCTTCTCGCATCTCGGAATCCGTACTGCGAGCCCTCCAAGCCATGAACTCTCGAGGAAAAAGCCCCTAGACTCCGAGACCTTAGAACCTAAACCCTCCCTATCTGCTGAGCCCTAAACCCTTAACCTAAACCCTAGAAGGCCGGAAAGCACTCACTCAGGAGCCCAACCTGAAAACGCCGGTACTTACCAGACGTTGGTTCCTTTTGTGTTTGGGGGGGTTTAGAAACCCTCAACCCGCAACGGTTTAGGGCTTGGACTTGGGGGGTTGCAAAGCTTTAGGGTGCTGCCTATGGAGGAGGAGGGTATGCTAACGAACGGAGTTTTACCCGCCAAAGCTTAAGGTCGGTGGTTTTTGGTCAAATTACAGTAATCTGATTGGAATCTGTGCTCGGCAGTTTGGATTTAGTAACCGACTTTCATTCCTTCTTTAAACTAGGGTCCTTTCACGAAAACCCAGAAGCGAACACCCTAAGGATTCTCAAGTGAGCAGAGTTTGAGAACAGCGGGCTCCTGGTTTAGAGTTTCGGATCTGGGTATTTGAGCTGAAAAATAAATAAAACGACTGATTAACAACACGGTTTTAGAAAACTTTTTAATCTCAGGTTGGACGGTTTAGGGTTTAAGGTTGGGACAAGTGGCTCGCTCGGAAAATGAGCAGCTTTTGGCCGTTTTTTGGATTTGGGCATATGAGGGTTTGTGTCTGTGTCCTTCGGTGGTGTCACGATTTCGGTGCTTCGCCGTGAACTTCGTGCCTCCACCATCCCAGGTCTTACTCAGCAGTAATGAGATGCCCTGCCATAAGCCGCATTCAGAGTCTTCCAAAAGCAGAACAGCTGCCCATCGTGTACACTGGGTTCTGATCTCCAGCTATGCTGTACAACATTACTCAAGCTGTCTTCCCTAAATCCATAGAAGCTCTAGGTCTAGTACCAGCTCACTCAAGCCGTGCTAAAGCCATCGGCCCCACAACCCACGACCCTCAACTCTACATCCCAAACCCTGAGCCCAAACTTATGATTTAAAACCATGTCATATATATATATATATATATTTATGTATACTATAAACCATAATGGGTAGTATATAGAATATTACAGTGTAATATATATATATATATATATATATACACACATAAATAGTTACATATAGATATATAGATATCTATATTGATTTATTTATTTAGGGTTGAAGCTTCTGCAAATAGCTTGAAAGCCAGCCTCGCTCGCAGCGCCAGAGCTCCAGCAGTGGGCGCGAGGGGTCCTGGCTGACTGAAGTCTCTCGAGACTCCAAACGGGAAATTCCGAAAATAGGGGACCCTAACATAGTACCCTAAATTGTAGGATCCTTATAAAAGGGATCCCAAAATAAGGTACCCCTAATTTTCGGAGACTCCAAATGCCCTTAATTAAGGAATACACCTTAATTAAGTCAGACTCTAACCCCCTACTCGGAGGGTCGGGGGACTTAGTAAGTAGGAGGAGTCTTCCATGTTTTTTGCAAAACTTGAGGCTTACCGGGCTTAAAGCTGATGGGTTGAAAGTGTGACTGCTTCAAAACGTAATATTGGGGCCATATCAATTAATAAAGGGTTTGGGGGCCATTATACTACAACAAAAATGAGGAACCCCCAAAATAGTATTGGTAATTATTTAAGACCCTATATACGGTACGTAGCTCCGGCTGAAGACAGCGCTCATTTTTGGCTTGTGGTGACAACCCCACCGATGTCATGACGCGAATCCGATTCCTGTGCCCGATACCTGATGCAGAACACTACCACTGCTTGCTCGACAAGTAAGCAATCTGATGCCAAGAATGGCACGCTCGAAGCACTCGATGCATCAACGGACGCATGCACCAAATCCCTGCCCACGGATGTCGCAACCTGTGTCGGGAGAAGGGAGTGAATCACTTGGCCACCAAGTTCTTTCACTCTCGAAGCTAACCACGGACCCGGAGCTAGGCAAGCCTTGCACCCTGACTCGATCCCGCCATTTTCGCCGTGCGCACGGACGAATCGTTGATGCATGCCGGATGACCAGTCGCCCTGGACGAATCTCGCAACCAACGACAATGACCAAGACGGGCACTCCTGCAACCTACTCGGCAGCTTGGCATTGGCCATGGTGAGCTCCCTTACAACAACGATCAAAGGCTTAGAACACGTCAAGGACGATCCAGGCATCACTTATATACAGTTTGAAACACCGATATTGTGTAAACACTGAAGGAAATGGGTCGGACATATTCCCTTTGAGGGACACCGAGTCTGAAACAAAAGCCAGGCTCGCCGTTGCACTGGCAGTCACTAGCATGCTAAAGGCGCTGACTCAAGGACCCAGCTCTGCAAGAGGTCTGCAGGCGGACAAGGCACCGTGTGCAAGCCTCTCAAATAACCAGACCCCAAAAACGCACTCATCAATCCCAACATAAGGTTGCAACCGATGCCGATGATGGTGAAATGCAATCCAAAAGGCCACTCTCGCAAGCCGTAGAGCACCGGAGCCGGCACCAAGCGTCCAACCTGGCCCAATCTTGTGCGAAGTCTTCCCCATGTCGTGCTGTCAATGCTATATGCGATGCTCTTGTGGAAGACCTGCTTCTCTGTGTCGCAGACTACCGACATGAACTCGCCGGATGCATCGCCGCGCCTCCATTCAGCTGCGGGCAACGATCTGGGATGCATCTCCGAAGTGGGCTCGCGAAGCATCTCCGGCAAAACCGGGGCTTCCGGCAGCAGCTCGTTCACCACGATAAGATCTTCCACAACTTCGATGCAAAGGAACCCGAGAATAGCACAGCTGGTAGAAAAATTGAAGCCAGGGGTTTGCGGATCATTGAAGGGCTTCATTCCATACATAACTGCCCGAGCAGTCACGAGGGCCACGACGGGAACGAAGCGGAAATAGCCTGCAAAAACCTTCATTTCCTCATGAAGCTTTACCCAGGAGCTGGGACCGAATAGCCCTCTCGCAAGAGAGGTGCCACCTAGACCTCGAGAGATCTGGAAGAGAAAGAACCGAAACCAACTCAAGCGCAGTAATATGTTGGTCAGCAAGGTTGACAGCGCGACCCCGACCCACACAAAGGTGCCGTCCTTTGCCGCACCCGCAAGAACTGCAGCCAAGCGCATGCACTCCGAGACGGCATGGTTGCAGGCCACCGAAGCCGTGACAGGGATGTAGAGCTGATCGCCTGGTATCTTGCCCGTCCCTCCAGAACGATTCGGCCAGGCGGCTCGGCAATAAGCCTCGCGTGAGAGTGCGACGAATAGAAGTTCGCAGATCGCTGTGGCCATGGGCAGGAAGATGCTCGCTTCAAGAATGTTGCCTCCAGACAGCAAAACGTTGTAAATGCCGCCGATGATCAGGGAGAGGCCAACGCTGCCAAAAGTGCTCATCACCAACGCGACCGTCCAGAGGGAGGTCATTCTGATGTCCCGATCGCTAGGCCCAGAAGGCGTACTCATGCAATAATGAACCAGAGTTGACCAAAGAAGACATGAGCCGGCAGCAGCCATCTCTGCGAAAAACTGAGATGTACCCACAAGCAGCAGCGGTGTCGTAGTCGCGAAAATTGCAAACGTACCCACCAGCTGTATAAACAAGCCGGCCCTCTCACCTGCAAATGCAACCCCAAAAACATCCACCACGAGCTGCTGACAACAGATGCAAGAATAGATAGGTGAGATGACTCTACCCCAGAGAATCTCAGACGAGCTGCCAGTCTCCACATATATGGACCAAAGCAGTCTCACGCAGAACAGGCATGTTTGCACGCAGCTACCCAGCATGAGGAACCGCGCTGAGAATGTACCGAAGGCCTTCATTTGCTCGTCCGTGACATCAACGCAGTGATTTTGAGCCGTAGGTATATCAGGATTCAGTAATACAGACCCCGACATTTCAACGTAGGCAAGACCGTCCTTGTCCAAAATGCGAACGTGCCTCAGATCACCTGTCTCAGAACAAATTTCAACCCGATCAGTCTCGCGTAGCACCACAGCACCTGGTCCAGTACTGCTCCAATAGTGGCTAGTACGGGCACCTAAACGGCGCCCGAAGGAGGAAACTTGGACACAAGCCGCTGGAGTGCGCCAGAATCGACGGCCACTTGCATCGTCATCAAATGCTACCACCGACACCCGCTTGTCACCTCGGATGAGATCATGCTCGGTGATCATCCAAAGCCAGAAACCCAAAAGCCTATGATACAATATCGTAGGATATGTTCCTGATTTGATATGATCCAAACTGTATAATCTAACGTGGCTAATATGTATATATATATATATATATATATGTATATATATATGTATATATATGTATATATATATATATGTATATATATATATGTATATATATATATATATGTATATATATATATATATATATATATGACATAGGGCTCAAATCGCCTGTAGGGCTCAAATCGCCTGCGCAGGGCAGGAATATTGTAGGCCCCAGCACACGCCATGGGTGTCTAAGCAATGCATAACGGCAAGTGTGCCATGCACAAACTGGGCATTCAGGTTTTGCCCTCACCCGACATGATGGCGATCATGGACGCAAAAGCCACACTGTGTAGGGTAACTTTGTTGAGCATTCGTTCGGAGGACATGCTCGTAGACTACACAGCAGATGCGTTTGCGACTGGTTTCTAGAAGAGGCCGGCTTTTCAGCTGCACGGCATCAAGCAAAACAGAGGCTCGTCAAACGAGGGAGAGTGGATCACCAAGCGGCAACCTGGCAGCCCATGCCCTTCGCCTGTTGTGATGGTGTTTATGGGTTCGAAGGACATGCTGTGCAGAGTGGCCACATTGAACACGGGCCGGGAGGACATGCTCGCACCTTTCACCATACAGGAGTCTGCGACTGGCTTCAAGAAGTCGCTGGCTCTCCAGCCGCACGGCATCAAGCAGAGCACACGCTCGTCAGGCGAGGGCATCTGGACCACCAAGCGGCAACCTGGCAGCTCATGCACTTCACCCGATGTGATGGTGCCTATGGGCTCGAAGAACATGCTGTGCAAGGTGGCCATGTTGAAAATAGGTGTGGATATGGCACGCTGGCACACTTCACCGTGGTGGCTGGCTTCAAGAAGACGCCGGTTTTCAGCTGCGCGGCATCAAGCAGAGCAGATGCTCGTCAAGCGAGGGCATCTGGATTGGAGGACAGGCTCGCATACGTCGGTAAAGGAATTCGCGGTTGCCTGCATGATGACGTTTGACGTTGGCTTTCCAGCAACGCGCCATCTAGCAGAACAGAGGCTCGTCAGGCCTTCGATCTGATGATGCTTGGCTGTTCCTGATTGTTTAAGTGAGTGATTCTGGAGCGCTTTAGATTTGCGTGTGGAGGTCCTATGGCCTTCATGCTATGGTTGAGTTTGATGTCCCGATATCACCTCGATGAAGGTGTTAAACATCCTGGGTATTGTAACCGTGTAGGAATGGCCTCATTTGATACCCATGAGGAAGATCCTGCACTGGTCCGATATGTGGATCGTATCATGTTTGGTGCTCTGATCGCCGATTATGGAATACGAAACACCTTTTGTATGCCGTGCATTTTCAGGCATCGTCCATGCGCCATCGTTTTGATTTTGTTGAAGGAGCTGGACAGCTTTTCCTTCGCTGGCTCAATCCCGTTTCCTAGTGCGAGTCCACACTGATGATCGTCAGATTACTCGTCCGCACTTCCACTTTGCCGGCTTGACACTGGCAACCTAATTAAGCTGCGAACACCACTGAATGCGTGCAAAGCAAATATATGACATGGCTAATATGTATAATGTACAAACATGCATTGTAGTTGTGATATACTGGTAATATGTCAAAAAGCCCTACACCACCCTGTAGGCTCTCAAGCGACAGGACCCAAAACCTTCAGAAACCTTAACTTCAGTCCAAGCGTTGTGTAAGGCCTTGCCCAGAGGGTCCATGTACCCACATACGGTTGATGATAAGTCCTGCATTACCTTAAGGACCCTTAACTATGGGAATTCTGGCATATTCGTTATTATGGGTAATGCAGGTTTTATATCATCAACCGCAGGAGATACGTTGGTCTTAAAGTAGTCCCTATCTAGGTACTTTGGGGCCGAAGTATATACTATTTGGGTACATGAACCCTCAGCCGCCTTAGCCAGGCTTCCTCAAGGGGTTTCGGGCCTGAAGAATTAGAATAGGGTTCCTTCAAGGGTTCTTTGAAAGGTTGGTTCTTTCAGGGCTGGTGCGAGAAGTAAAATAATAACCCGCTTGCAAGCGCAACAACAACCCTCCAATCACCGTCAAAACGTAGGACCCTAATCCTATACAACATCCATGAACCTTACCTGTAGGCGAAAAGACTTACCTTTTCAAGGAACTTTGTATAGAAACCAGAATAAGGAACCCTAGAAAGGGTAGGTTTTTGCGGTCACAGGTACACCCTCCTTTCATAGTCCGGGCCAAGGCGCCGATGCCCTGAGTCAGTATGTGAAGCAGGCGGCCTCCGGCCGCCAGGCGCCTTCGGATCAAAACCTCCTCTGCCTCCTCGCCGGGTCCTACAATAATGAGGCAAAGATCACCGGGGGACTCCATAGCTGGAGATATCTTGCGGAAAATCAGACGGCGGCGAAGATGATCAGGGTTTGGGCGAAGATGATTAGGGTTTAGGGTTTATAAAGTTTACATAATCATGAACTACTGAGTTTGATGCTGCGCAATACGATCATTTCGCGAGCTTTGCAAGTATTAGTCTGTACCAAAGCTGCTTAATTAGTTCTAATTCATGGTTGGGATAGGATTAAACATTTAAATTTGTATTCCTTATTAAGTTTAAGTACCCATAAACATGTAAAATGTTACCCAACTGTGACAAAGAGTTGGAGCATGAACACACTCTCAGGAAGGCTTCAGCTTGAGCACCAGACCAGGGAGGCTTCAGCTTGAGCAGACGCTGTAGCTTGAAGTACTGTTGATGGACAAAATCCTGCATGACCCTAAGGACTCTAAGCTATGGGAACTATGGCATATTCCTTATAATGGGTAATGCAGGATTTTGTCCATCAGCAGTATCACGGCTCAGGATGCAACGATCCAAAACACCCTCCAGAAGTAAGCCCCGAAGGCAGTGTGAACCACACAGCCCAAATCCGTCCAACGTCTGAGCGCCTGAGAATTGCCCGGAGCCGCTCAGCGCCTGAAACCTATATGCTAGAGACACGGAATAGCAGAGGCTGGCAGCAGTGCCGGTGCTGTTCTTTCTGTAATCCTTATAGAACCAACCCTTATAATTGCCCACTATAGAACCCTCGTATAGGAACCCTTTATAGCCACCCATTATAGCATCGCTTGTAGGAGCCCTATATGCTAAAGCCCGAGAGAGTTGCGCCTTGTTGCTTGTATCGCTGAAGAACAGGGCCACATTGCCTAGCCATCTCCTCAACTCCAGCACCTGGAGAGCTAGGGGTGTAGTGTTTAGGGTAACCCTAAACCCGAAACCCTAAGAAGGGAGCCAGGGTGCAGGGTTTAGGGTAACCCCAAACCCGAAACCCTACGAAGGGAGCTAGGGTTTAGGGGTTTAAGGTACTCCTAAACCCTAAACCTAAGAAGGCAGTTCTCAGGATTCGAACTCGAAAGATAGGAAACGAAGAACTAAGATGTCATCCAGCTTTGAACTCTACTGCCCGTCCAAGAGTCTGTGTCACCCTGGATCTTGAAGAACTGCTTGGGGTTGGAGGTTGAAGGCTTCGCATTGAAGTTTTGCAAAGGGGCCTCAATATTTTACTTTGAGAGTGTAAGACATTACGGGCCCCATATTTTCCAGTCAAAAAGCTGTTTTCTAAGAGTTTTCATTACAAAAACTTACAATCGTCATAATTTGCATACTAGTGGTTTTCAAGCTTACTTAACCCTGTTGGTCTTGATGCCTGATATGGGAGATACTTTTCCAATCAGCATGGGATGCACTTGTGACTACCTTTCATTGTGGAGTCTCATGAAGACTATCCGATAAATCAATGCCACTTCAATCTTGTGGTTGTTCTTTGTGTCTCATAGTATAATCTTGCAGATAAATGAAATACAATGCGTCTGCGAAACCGTGCATTTCTCCACCCTTGAATGATGTACAAGACCGGTCAATCTATATAACTTTTGCATATCAACGTAAAGAACCGCTTACATATCCCACCGGTTTTTGCAGGCCCCATCATGTGCATGGTAACATATGATTTTGGATATAGACGTCCAGCATATACTGTAGCATGACAAGTTGAGTTTGGCATCATACAGGAAGGTTGCTCAAACAGTTCCCACCGTCTCAAGCTGTATACATGCAGGCGATCAACTGGATCGTGTTACCGGATCCATTTGCATATGTACATATATACATATATGTACATAGATGTCTTTGCTACATTCAGTTTCGATACCGTTTTTCGTATGAATGCTAGCTTGTTTAGTGCAACCTCCTTCAAAGGCGTATTTATTGTTTGCGATTATTGTTGCATTGGTTGTCCTTGTTTCGGAGCTCCCAGTCCAATAATTTGTCCAGTATTTGGAGCTGTGTATGCGGAATTGTGTATATCAATTGCAACAGCTTCTCACATAAGCCAACCCAGAAAACTGAAAACCTACGACCTTCGAAGACAATCATCGCATGGATGTTGTTGTATACACCCTGACAGCTACAATGCTGGCTTATCCAGATTAGTGATCATTGCGGCTGAAGCCCACGAGCCCCCAAAGGATAAGGATATAATTTAGTTAAGATTCCCAAGGAGATGGTGCTTTGCTATCATTATTGTATATGCAGACATATGGAGATCCACCTGCAATATTAATCATTTTCGCTGTCTTGTTGCTCATACCATCTAGTCATAGGTCGACTGCCGTGAAAACACATTATTTGCACATGCACACACAAACATACACGGACACGCACATACGATTGTCATCAGCTGTAAACAATACCGCTTGTTGTATCTATGCTGCAGGCAATGCACCTGTATGCCGCAACCATTCTAATATGGTCTTGTTAAAGCCCATGCCGCACTTCATCGTGTGTCTTATGGATATCTCCGTAAACTAAATCCTGTTACCCAAGCAAAAGTATAAGAACTATACTATGCCTAAAACCAACTTTTTAAAATGTGACATGATCAAGAAGTCAAGTATCTCTTGTGGTGGAAGTAAACATGGCAGATTACATTGGCAGCTGCATGCCAGTTTTGGCAAGAGTAATGGAGCCGTCATAATGAGGCACCCAATCGGCAGTTGAACAGGATATTCGCCGCATTCCTTCAATGTAAAAGGCATGTTATGTGTTGAATATGACCATATCAACATAGAGCACCAGGAAATCTCTTAAACATATCGTTATGATATTGAGCCATCCGTATAGATCATCGCAGTAGGTGTCCTTATAAGATGCCCGCATCGTTCGGGCGTCCCCCTTTACGCCTTCCGGCCGCGCGGGCAAGCGGGATTGCACCACATATTGGTTAAACCTCTCGATAGACCTTTCTAAAAGCCCGGAAACTTATTCTCACACATAAACCCAATCTCCCATGAAGTTACAACAGTCACAGCTAGGTATGAATAGGTCGCAAGATGCAGGCAGCATCTCATGACACATATCTTCTCTATGAGATTTGACTTAGATGTCCTTGTGCATCCCGTGAGCTTGCCAAGCTCGTATGGTATCTCCCTAGCACCTCATGCTACATGTTTACGAGTGTGTTACGCCATATCATTCTATGATGCGCATGGTTCACGTGAAGATTGATACTTCACCATGACGTGCTCATGAGATATATTGTTTCCATATCTAGCCAGTTTTGGTATAGTGATATTCAGATTCCTGCGAGTAGCCGATCCTGATCACAGGAACATAAACCAATAGGGATTTCCAGTTGTAAACTCCCCGACAGAGCCCACCATGTTGCTCGAACATCGCACAAGTGGAATATTCAAACTCCCGTTTTCATGCACCCATAAGATAGTCGGATTCGGATCCCTTACATCGCAACCTGTCAATGAAAGGCGAAGACAGTGTTTGTTGTATATGTGATCGAGGAGACTGCTCATACATGTATCTGACATCCGACATATATACCGACCATATGTCCTCGCATATGCTACCACATCATATGCGACGTCAAACATTGTTGTTATCGCTTGACTACTACAGACCCTTCAACTGGTTGTCCACCTGGCATTGCTCAGGCAGTGGTTGTGTCGTGAGTTCGCATCCGTCGAATGTATGTTAATGTAAGGTCTCCTCGTCATATGATGTCATCAGTCATAAAGAGTTTATCATCTTTGTGAGATGTAATCTCAGATATCGACTTTTCTATACGCAGTAAGTCTCTGAGGTCTTTTATAGATTCTATAGATGTTTATCTGTTTAGTTTGTAATCTTATTGATCTTAATATTCGGCATAGAGTATCTACTCACTTGTAGTGAGGCTTGCACGGGCGCAGGACACCAGGTTTAAATCATGTGGCTCTTGGTTGGTGTCCGCTCCCGCAGTATGGCGCACCATGGCGCTGGCTGTCGCTTGCCTTGCTGTCCCCGCGGGGGGGGGGGGGGGGTGGCAGCCACCAAAAAAAAAAAAAAAAAAAATCTGGCGGGGGGGGGGGGGGCAGCGCCAAAAAAAAAAAAAGAAAAAAAAGATTTTGGATTTTTTTTTTTTTTTTTTTTTTGGCGCTGCCCCCCCCCCCCCCCTCCCTCCAGATTTTTTTTTTTTTTTTTGGCCGCGCCCCCCCCCCCCCCCCCCCGCCTTCCCCTTAGTAGCAGTGTTCTCGCCCTTCGGGCCTAAACCAGCCAAGAAGTGAGTCAAACCTCCTGCTTTATAGACACGTCGATAATTGAAACAAGCACATGTATGGGTATACGTGCAAGCATCCTATTTAAGAATATGCATATGAGGATAACGATATCGTGTGCACGAGTGATGTTGCTTCAAATCTGAAGCAAACCAAAAACATGAAAAACAGGAATGCTGTAAATATGGGGCCCGTAATGTCTTATTTTCTGTTTACTTTAAACAGTAAAATCATGGGGTTTAGTACACGGATGGAGATGAACCTGGACGAGAGAATAAACCCTTCAAGCTTCTCATCCTAAACCCTTCAAACCGAAAGGCCTGAACCCCCAAGAACCCAAATCCACGCCCCAACAACCTAAAGCCCAAACTCTAAACCCTAAAGACGGTTTAGGCTTTAGGGTTTAGGGTTTAGGGCCAAACATGGCCGGCCTTGTCCTCTTCAAAGTTGCAGGCTGGATCGGCATGCAGCGGAAGCACCTTACTGGGGAACCCCTGAATAAACCCTTAAGGAGCAGCTTTAAGGAGCACCCAAAAAAGGAGGGCCTCAAAGGGAATCCCTATAGGAACCCTGGAAGGAAATCTTAAAGGTTCATCTCTTACATTTTTTCAGGGTCTCTGTAGAGGTTGGTTTACGAAGGTCGTCTATTTTTGTTGCTTAAAGGCTTTTGTTTCAAGGGTCACCTTAAGTGTGTGGTAGGATCCAAGACATAAGGGCACTCTGAAGGTTTCTATTAAGGGTTTTGTTTCAGAGTTACCTGCTGCTATACACGTAGCAGCCCCATACAGCAACACTTTAGGCCCAGATCCAACAGCCTAAGCCTTCACCCATGATCAAACAAAATCCTATGATAAAATGTCGGGACACCTGCTAAAGAACTTTTTCAACCATAACGAACTCGTATATCACAGCCACAGTAGAAAAGAACAACGCACAACAACTCTCGAAGCATGAGGCTCTTTTATTGGCTGGATTGCTATGCCGACTAATGTAGGAACCTGCTTAAGAAACCCTGGGCCTATGACCCCAAAATAGTAGGATTCAAGTGAGGAACTCTGATAAAGGCCGAAGGCTTCTTAATCAGGTTCCTACATTACATCGTTACGCAGATGGTATGCATCCGACCCGGGGTGGGGAACCGTAAGCTCGACATTGGGCTTATGGGTTCCCCTGTTCGATATTGGTTCAAAAAAGCTGGGGATTACGGCTTTGGAGTTTAGACTATACTCCTCTAAGAAGCCCATAAACCACAATATGTGTGTAATATTCTCCCGGGTTTTATATGAAAAAATCCTAAGGAGACTGTAGGAGAGTGAAAGACTTTGGGATGTGTAATCCGGGATGCCAACCTCTCCAGCTTGACATGGATATCGTTGTTCTGTCCAGCACGAGGCCATCCAGCACTGCCTTGGACGCCTTGAAGTTCCATTCATCCCAAGACGGTGTTCTCAGCAAGTTGATTCTCAGCAAGCTGATCGTGCCCATCCTCGTTAGGGCCGCTCTTTGTCGTCAGCCGTGAACAGCAGCCAGAATCTGAACAACTCGAACCTCGTCTCCAAAGACTTGGCTGACTTCCGAATCCCTCCTAACGATCATACTGTTTTCCTGTTGTTCCGGTCCTTGAGGCAGCAATAAGATGATGAAGAACAACAAATCAATTAAGGCAGAATCATCACTACCTCTGGGCACATTTCTGTTGACGTAACCTACACACTACGGAAGACCAGCAGATGTTTCTAATCCTGGACGCCTTAAGCCTGAAAATTGAATGAACCCTAAAGGCCTCGAAGATATCCTTGACGTAGCCCTCATGTGGCATTTAATTACAGCCTAATTAGTTGAAGTGCGGCCACTGTGGGAACTTAAGATGGTTTGTTTAGAGGGGAAGATTCCCGAATCGCCTAAGTATACTTACCGGTTACCCTACTGATAACTGTCCCTGAACCCTAATCCCAAACCCTATAGAACTGGAACCCTAATGTAGGGGCCTTAATTATGATCCTTTATATTATGAAAATAAAAATAATAAATAAGTAGCTTTCCAAATTTTGTTTAGGCTTCTATAGTAAACCATCTGCTGTGTTTCCCGGCCCGCTGCTTCACAGACATTGCGCCGAGGTACACCTGATAGGCTTCGGGGCGCAGCGTCTAGATGTGGATATTCAGGGTGAGGTATTCAGCGTATTTGGGAAATGATGGTTCAAGGTCCAAGCAGAAGGGATCAAAAACATGAGGAACTTAGTACTTCGAACCGAGTTTTCGGATATACTACCTCAACCTAGCAAAACCTACAAAAAAGTAGGGTCCCTATAAATTCCATTTTATGATAAGGACCTACAAAAAGGTAGGGTTTGGTAGGTTAAGGTATAGTATAACTCTACGGAGGAATGCTGAGGAACAGTGCTGCTATTCATTCAGACGACTTTCAGAGCCCTTCATAACTAGGCCTTGCAGCTCGCACGCCGCAGTTACAATAAGGAGCCCTCAGGAATAGTACTGGTGAATATTCAAACCCCTGTATTAACTTCTGGTCCCAATGAAGCTCCGGCGGGGCCTTACCAAGGCCGGCGTTGCTGAGGACCTTGACACTCAGTGAACTTTCCGACAAAGGCCGGCAGCACACCTGGGTTTGGGGTTCTGGGGCTCTTGATGTATCAGATGCTTATATACGAAGTCTTGGCAATGCAAGGACATTCACAGACCAGTTGAGACACCACAGACTACCTTGAACATTTGAGCAGCCTTTAACGGTTGATGGCATGTGAGCTTCGAACACCGGCGCCCTACAGGCCCCATAGCATTAGTCGGCACAGTGTGAAAATGATGGGCGCAGGGAACGCAGTGAACATCGAGCTCGGGCTTGTGCCACTTTGTCCCATACGACCAATCCTCCAAAGCCAATGCACCTCAACTCATAGACTGCTCCCCTGAGTATGATATTCCTAGAATAAGGGTTTTCAAACTCTCGAAGTTTCTAGGCAACCCTTCTCAAGCCTACACCACGAGGTCATAAGACTCAACACTAAACCCTAAACCGCTAACTCCCTAAACCCTAACCCCGTAAACCCCTAAACTGAAGACCCGAAATCCCCAACCCCGAATCCTAAGCAACTTGTACCCTGAAGCCCTAAACCGTGCTGAGAGCCCCTAAAGCCCTAACTCTAAACCCCAAGCCCCTAAGCCCCAAAAATTACCCTAAAACCCTAAATCCAAAGCCCCTAAAACCTGCTCTGAGCCCAAAGCCCGAGATAGCAGTCGAGCAAGCATCGCCTGCTGCAGCGAAAAGTTCTCCTGGGAAGCTGTGCTTCTTTTCTTGTGAGCTTAGGATTAGAAGTTTAGGATTCTCACTGGCCCAAAACCCAAGGAAACAAAAGTTGAAACTTTCAGAATCGACTACCTTATAAGAACCCCAAAACTTGAAAAAGTTGAGTTCACAGCCAATAAGGATTTAGGGCTTAGAGGTATGGGGTTTAGGATTTCGCCGTTGAGCGTTTCCCCATAGGATGCAGTGCCCGAAATAGTGGCTTACTGGGTTACGCAACATGGATGTCTGAAAGCCATACACTCTCGGCATTGTGGGTATTTTCGTAGCTCTGTATCTAGCGTCTGTTTGCGAAACTAGTTGAGCCCCAAATTTCTTCGAAGAGAGCGAACGTCGAAATGACAGGCACTGTTCATCCCTGAGCCTCAACCAATCCTTAATCCCGAAAACCTAACACGGCGTGATGAGCCCATGTCCTCGAATACCTCACCCATATGACCCGTATAATCCTTTTAAGCATGTCATGTCACACCAGCCCACACATCGGAACCTCTCTGGCTCTAAAACGGCTAACGGCTAGAACCTGCAAACCCTGTACCCGAAGTTAATGTTTTGAGGGTATTCAAGCTTTCGGGGAAGTTGAAGGTTTTGGATTCAGCGTCTTGGGAAGTTGAAGGCTTTGGGTTAGTGTTAGGGTTTGGGCTGAAGGGATGATGATGGATAGCAATTTGGGCTCTGCTCGCGTCGCACGACTGAAGCAGGTCTCTTCCATGGTACCCTTGAAGCCCCAAAAGAGAAAACTTACACTTCAGAAAGCTGGGTCGTCTGTCCGTTGGGGATGAGGGACAAAGCACCTAAACACTTATCCCCTAAACCCCTAAGCCCCAAAACTTTACACTGCCCAAACGCTATCAAGTTTTACGGCCGCCCTGCGTCCTCGACGCAGAATCCAAGAATGTTCTTGAGCGGAATGATACTCCTCAGCTCTGTCTGTTCTAGTCCTTATAATCCTGTAACCCATGACTTAATTGAAGCTGTGACAATCCATGCATGACGGCTCTGTAATTTCGTTAAAAAAAGGAGAATACAGTTTTCGAGTTCTGAGGCATGTTTTCCTATAGTTGTATAAGGACGACTACAATTCCGAGCCCTGCAGTACCAGACTCTCATCCCCATGATCGCATGTCAACTCTAGACTCCCAGCCTCTAAGCCGCACACCCAGAAACTCCTCAGCTACAAAGGCCAAGTCCGGAGCACCGTCTTTCACGACTGAGAACCCAGGAGCCGATCCCTACAACTCTTTTGATTAAGTCCTTCATTCAATTGAGGCGTTCAGGATTTAGGGCTTTTGGGGTTTTATGGTTTAGGAATTAAGAGTTAGATAGTTAGATATCATAGCTATCCTACGGAAGCTTTTTGATGTTTAGACCATTCAGCTTCTGGAAGCAAGGAGACTCCAAAACTGCAAACAAACCCTAATCTGGAGCCTTAGAACTACTATAGTTGTATATAAGGACTACCAACCGATTCACGCCAACCGCGACAAATCTCCGATTCAGCTGTTGCATTGTCATTGTTGATCCAGTTCTAAATTCACCTAGGCCCCTATATAACCACTTTCCGAACTCCGCTGCCATCTACTTTCTGTCGTAAATGCCGACACGGTGCACGCTGTCAACCTCATGGTCGAGGGCCGTAGGGCTTTTCGCACAAAGGGGGCTGGTTTTGAAGCTTGGGATCCAGACTTTACCGTGAAAACTGCGCCTGCTTGATCACACGGATACAACACGCTTGAGTAGGGTCCATTTCGTTTGCGCCACCAGTCTCCGAGGACGGAAGAAATTTCGAAATCCACTCATCAAAGGCGCATGCTGGGAACTGAGGTTGCAATGCCTACAGCCATGGCTTCCGCAGGGACCGAAATACACACACCCGAAAAGCTTCTTGCAAACGATAGAACCCTTGACGAAGGCTTTATCTCCATCGGGTGGTTGTCAACATTAGGGTCCCTTTTTGGGTCCCTATTTAGTAGCACAATACGGCACCTAATATTTAGGGTACCCAAGAAGGTACCATAATTTTGACAACTACTCATATCATGCTCCCTCTACCGGGTGTCTGTTCGATCGGTCCTCTAAGCTATCGGTGTACGGACTATCTGCTAACCCCAAACCCTAAACCAAGCAGGTTTTCCAGCAGTATCACAAGAGTACACCACAAGCCACCCATGCCCTAAAGCCTGTATAAACCCTAACATGCAACATGAAAGCCACAGGCCTTTGAACATCCTACAGCTTGACGCCGAATCTGAGAAAACCCAGCAGAACCCTAAATCCTAAGCTCTATACCTTTGGCACAACCTCCATAAACTTGAACCCTGAAACGAGCCCACAGCCCTATAAGCCTTAGACTCACATTGGCAACTCTAGGTCTTGCCCCGAAACCCGAAACTCTGCCCCGCCCCGCGACAATCAAATCAAAATGAGCAAAGACAAAGGAACATTCCAAACCGAAACATAACCCTTAACCCCAAAGCCCTAAGAACCCACCCAGAACCCAAAACATCAGATGGCCGAGACACGGGGGCGCGGTGGCAGACACCACCACAGCAGAGAGGTCCGACGCTCCTTGCCGGCTTGGCTTTCCGGATTAACGTACTGGGTGTAGGGTTCCTCTTTTTCACAGGGTTTTACAAGGGGTTTGTAGGGGTGTGCGGGATGCAGGTAGGGACTGGGGTGCAGGGGGGGTTCCGGGTTCATGGCTCAAGAATTTCGTGTTTAAGGCTTAGGGGTTTGGCTGTGAGGGTTTCGGGGCCAAGGCTTTAGTACGTTCAGAGATTGATGTTCAGGGCTTCAGGGGTTCAGGGTCAAAGGGGGGTAGGCCTTAAGATCTGAACAGTTTGTAGGGTTCCGGGTCAGTGCAAAGGAAGGCTTACAGGTTAAGGCTTAGGTTTTGAAAGTTTGATAGATGGCTTGTAACGGCCCGTTTTATGAGTCTATCGGTACGGCAAGTTCTTTCCGGTTTCCGGGTGCTAAGGCAGAGTTTACATTGAGCAAGGTTGACCTCTTTGGGCGTAAAGGGTTTGCCTACTTTTGCGGCAATCCAACAAAGGCATGGGCACCAGCATCATCAGTGTGTGACGTAACAATGTAACAATCTTCATGACTTGAGAAAGAAACCCAGGCGGTCGAGTCGGACTCAATGCTACGAAAGCGAACATGAAATTGACCAGCGCCGTCGTTTTGGCGCAGGACTCAAGGATTGAAGCTACAGGGTTTGGGGTGGGAAGCTCTGCTGCCCACACTGCCCACACCATTGGCAACCATGTCGATGATACAAAATCCTGCATTATCCATAACAAGGAAGATACCATAATTCCCATAGCTTAGGGTCATGAAGGTAATGCAGGGTGTATGTCATCAACCGTAGTACATAGAGATGCAGGCGATCCCGTCCTGTACTGGATGACCTGAGCTGACAAGAAGCCAAGGCAAGCTGGGCTTAGAGCCCCTCGGATGTAAACCTTACAGATGGCAACGACACCATCATGTAGATGTTCTAGGGAATGCTTCTAGGATGCGAAAAGTTCTGCAATGCACACGTGTCCTGTACTTCCAAATGCAAAGCAGCAAGCATTGGAACGGCACGAAAGCATGTATCAAGTGTCAACCCGAATCAATCCAACCTCCAATTAGTCCCCAGACCCGAAAAGCCGGAAATCTTAATGGCAAAACGCATAAGTCCAGAACACCAACTAAAGCTCTATGCCGGAAGCTTCAGCACTGGATTCCTTCAGAAATGCGGGGATAACGTGAGGGTTCAGTGTTAAAGGCTTCAGGGTCAAACGCCGCCCGATTGAATTCATAAACCAATGCCGAGGTAGAACCCAGACAGAACATCCCAAGCCCCTCCATGACATCCCAAGCATCACAATTCCTTGCCAAGGGAAGGCCTAGATTTCGCAGTATATGCAATCACAACCTTTCTGAGTACTACAGTTACTACAGTATGTTGCATTTGGGACCTTAAACTCTACTGGTTGTGTCTGTTTGGGTCCTCGGGCCTTTTAGGAAGCAGCGTTGAAAGTTTGGGTGCAGCATCAATGGCGTGTTGGCCTCAGGATATATAGGGCAGCGGGCACATTCGGGTTTAGGGTAGCAGCTTCAACGTGCAAGCCCTGCAGTGCAATCAATGTCTCAATGCCAAGCCGGCGACAATGAGGCGACGATCCTGAGGACTCAGCCAGTGATTGGGCATACAGGATTACCACGATTCGGCTGCAGGCGTCGGGATGCAGGGCACAGACAGACAAAGCAACGTCAGACCCCGCCAGCACCTAATTCCTTGGACACCTGATGTTCTCTGGTACAACAAACAGATCGCCCTCGGCACACTCAAGCAGAAGCTTGAGCCCTACACCTTATCGGCGGTTATAGTGTTAAAGGCTTTAGTTCGGGCTGCAGTGTTCTTGTGCACAGGCAACTTGATAACCTTCTTCCCGATCTCTGCCCTTTCACCCTGAAACGTGAACATATATTTATATATAAGCCTTAAGCCCTAAACCCTTAGAAAATTGCTAACCGGCAGAAGCCGAGCGTTCTTTGGGTTTGCAAGGCTCGATGTCAGATGCCGAACTCCTCAGACCGGCCGAAGAAAACGAAACTCGAAATGCGGTTTGGGGTTTAGGGTCTAATGTAGGAACCTGATAAAGAAACCTTGGGCCTTTATTAGGGTTCCTTCTATGAATCCTACTATTTTGGGGGTTATAGGCCCAGGGTTTCTTAATCAGGTTCCTACATTAGGGTTCACGGCTTCCGCTTCTCGAAACCACCCGAAGCAGAACCCAACAATGAGCCCGAAGGGACAAACTCCGATAACTCGTAAACCCTAAAACTCAACCCCCTGAGCCCATCACTGTTATCGTGGCCAGCGTCGAGGGTCGCCTGTGAACACCGAAATAGGGGATTCCTCATTCGCGAAGGTCTCCTAAGGTTATGCAAATGTTTATGCAGGTCCTTCTCAAAACATGGTTTCGAGATTTATGAGGGTCTCCTAAGGTTATGTATTTGTTTGGTTGTCGGTACAGGGCATACTACAGCCTTTTGTGTTGCGCGAGCTGGTTGTTTGCTTTGTTGCGTTTCTCTGTTCGGCCATCCGCTGGAAACGAACATTGCTGGACAGCCCGCCGCACCGTCGCATGCGCAGTCTGGAGTTTGTAGGCTTCGGAGCACCCCGAAAAGGATTGCTCAAGCGACCAGTGATGCCCCGGCATGGTGAAACCATTCGGTGTGCCTACAAGGTCTTGACACGTCATTCTCTCGGAGAATCTCTCAGGAACATCGGCCTGCAGATTTCTCGGGAACAGCAATACACTGTACCCGCAAAGGACATTGGAAGTTCGGACGTTCGAGAGATGCGGAGTCGCTGCTTCGAGGTTGGCCCGCATGCTCTGCATAACCCGTTAAAGGTTCATGGTCTGGGATTGTCGTGATTTGGCCTTTGGGTGCAGGGTTTATGTAGAAGAGATCTTTGCTGGGGCTCGACCAGGGTCTACTTGAAGGCAGCTTGGATATTGATACTCACATGTGCCGAATTACCGAACATAGCAAAAGAAACGACTGAACAAAAGAACCTAAACCCTCAACCCTAATTTACAGAAAAGCCCAAAATCCCCGAACCCGAGTTCAATATGACCTATCGTAACGGCCTTAACCGCGAGGCTAGGCTAGGGTTTTGGTGTCCACCATGCGAAGTATATTACAGCCACCCTAAAACAACCGTTAACGAAAAAACACCATTCTAAGTGTCGAGATCTTTCTTCATTACTGGGAGAGCAGCCCGACAGAACTAGAGTTGACGACTCCATTGCAGGAGTTGGGCTCGGATTTGGGGCTTTAGGTTGGGGTTCAGGGTTTAGGGGTTCAGGGGTTAGGGTTTTTGGGGTTAGGGACTTAAAAGTTAAGGGTTAGGGTTTAGGGCGTTCGGGGTCTACGGAATCAAGGTTTTATTAGGGGTTTGGTTTAGCGGCGGGCAGCCATGCTTCCGGGTGTAGGTTACAACCCAGATGCTAACACCCGCATGACCACGTTCCGAATCCTAGCATCGGAACATGCCCGTAACCCTAATTCCGAATCCTAGTCCCCAAACCTTTGTGTTGAACTCTAAATCCTAAATCCTGATGCTGGTGCCTATTGAAGAGGGTCCCTGCATACTATCATGATGGAATTAAATCCCCGAAACTAAATAGGGATGGTCTCCTCGGACCTAACTCCATAATGGTAGTGTACATATATGTCTTTATATATACACATATATATATACATACACACACATATATATATATATATCTACATATATTCATATACATATACATATACATATACATATATATACATATATATATATATATACGGACCCTCTGGGTATGCTTGCAGCGAAGATCCTGCCTCAGGTTCCGCGCACCCCGCCGATGCGGAAACCAAGCGCGAAAGACCTCCAAGGAGGCCCTTACAACATGAGTCTATCTGGATTCTAGTAAACATACCTTAACCTATCAAACCTACTTTTTTGTCGGGTATAAATTCAATGTTAGGGCTCATTATAAGAACCTGCAAAACGGTGGGGTTTGGTAGTTTAAGGAAAGGTATTGTAAACAACTACAATACAAGGTACTGTGAGGAACTGTAACGTATTGTAGTTCAGTACATCAAGGTTCTATACAGTACTAGAAGGTTGTATTATGCACTATGAGCTTCTGTATCGACGGGTGCCGCGCATGGTACCTATAAATCTTCAAAAAGTTTTTCCAGGGTGGAACCCCTTGGAAGCCCCAAAATCCAAAAAGTTACAGGTTACGACTCTTCAGGGTTTACGGCTTCGCGCTTTCAGGGGGCTTAAGGTTTTAGTTAGGGTTGAGGCCTTTGGGCTCTAGCGGGTTTAGGGTTGTAGTAAAGCCTTGTAGTAGTTGAGAGAGTTCTATGCGAGGCGACTAGAGGGGTTCGCCAGGGCCGAAGCCCGGCACCCTAAACCGCGAAACCCCGCACCTCAGCCTCAGCCTCAACCCCCTAAACCCAACAAACAAACGAACGAACCAAGAACCGAAGAAACTAACAAACAGGCAAGCGAACAAGCAGACGATAAACACGCAAACAAACACACACAGGCAACACTTGCAGCTTGAACCCCAAACCAACCAAAATCAACAGCATCCACCCAAAGTCTCAACCCTTCACTGCCATCTCCACTACCCACCCCGCCACCCTTCTTAAGTGGCCTCTTCCTCGAAGAGGCAAGGCCCCCAAAGGAGGCGCTCCTCGGGCGCCAGGACAAGGCCCCACCTTGAAGAATCACAGGATTGGGGTTTAGGGATTGCTTCCACAGGTTTAGGGCTTGGGGATTAGGGTTTTAAGGCTTGTTTCAAAGGGTTTAGGGTTCAGGGATTGGGGAGTTTAGGGTGTGTTTCAATGGGTTTACAGCTTAGGGTCCTCTTTGGGCTACGAATCTTTTTGGGTTCAGCTCCCAGCTTCTGAGGATTCTGAGGTTGGGATGTTGTAATTTGAAAAAAGCCTACATAAGAAGTAGGTTATGGTAGTGCAGGGCGGGGTCCAGTCAGGGGAGTTGAGGTGGATACCTGTCCCTTCTGCTCCGCGACGTGTCTCCTTTTGGGCAAGAGTGACGGCAACGGTCTCCGCTCTCCCTACGCTGCAAATTCTGTGGCTTAACCCGCCAACCTCCAAACCCTATACTGAACTTAGAACCCTGGCAAAACTTATAATTTTAGCTGTCTCTTAGGGATAATAATAACCACACATTAAAAAGTATTTCTAAGTACCCCTAAGTAAACCCACACCCTAAACCCTACTTCAGCCCTGAGGCGCCATGCAGCGTGGACGAAACCGCTCACCGGTTATCAAAGACTGCAAACACTACTGTAAATCTCAACGCACAACCTTAAGCATACCATGGCAAATCTGTCAACTTCGAGCCAAGGGAAGCCAAAACTTAGTTTCTGACGTCAGGAAAAGCCCTTCTGTCCCTTGCAAGTTGTTGAAGTCTCAAAGCCCTGGAGTTTCATGCAGGTCTGCTACGTATTCCTCCGAGAGAAGTGCCGACCTTTGGAAACGAGCAAGAACTAACCCTAAGGGTCCATGTACTCATACAGTATATACATTGGCCTTAATGTAGTCCCTATATAGGCCCATGTATCTCTATATGGGTACATGGACCCTTAGGGTAAAGGAGCTTGTGACCTCCTTTCCTTACGGATCGACTGCTTCAATTAAGGCCAACTGCACCCGGCACCGGATAAAGAGTTCCAGGATAGGGTTTGAAGGTGTAGCCTAAGGCTCCATAGTAGTCCTGTTTTGGGGTTCATATCTAGAATAGTATGAGGTAATCCCAAAAAGGAACTACTATGGAGCCTCTGGGTAGCCGACTATCTGCTTCCATCAACGTGGACTAGAAACACACATAAACCGTTCGTCTGTTTATGGAACGGTCGCGAAGGCTGGCCATTTTCGGGTTTAGGGTTTACCTGGACCCTAAGGAGCCTACCTTTTTAAGGTTCCCTAATATGATTTCTTTGTACAAGTCCTCAAAAGGTCGGTTACTTGGGGTTAGGGTAGGGTTTTGAGCAGGGAGAGCGAGGCCCAGCTGAGGAGCAGTGTGCAACTTCAATGCTCTGCTCCTTCTTTCGGGTCTTCCTCGTTTCCTTAACCCCAAATAACCTACCTTTTTAGGGACTTACATAAAGAAATCCTATTAGGGGGCCCTAAAAAGGTGGGTTCCTTCGGGTCCAGGTTCTATCTATTCCCCAGAGGGTCCACATCCCCAAATAGCAGGGTTCCAGGTCCCATAATCCATGCTCTGAGTGGTTTTGGGACCTTGAAACCCCATTATTTGGGCACTTGCACCCTTAGGGTTCTACATCGGGGAAATGAGTTAGGCCGAGCGTTTCAGGGTTTATGCTGAAGCTAAACTCGAAATTTCCAAGCCGGCTGAGCCAGAGACTTCTCTGCGCGTGTTGCGCCTCGGAGTGAAGAATGGGCAGCCGGCTCAGGAGCGAGAGTTTCGGGGGTTTTGGGGAATGGGGCTTCGATTATGGAGTTTAGAGGGGGATGCCTGGCCAGATGTGTTGCCCTGTTGACCAGCAGTCGAGACTGTCATATACTGCGAGGATTGGAGTCCCAAAACCCTAAACCCTATAGATCCCTTTAAGGCTCCCTTTCAACTTTAAGAGGCCCTTAGGCCTTAGGAGTATTCCTTAATTAGGGGATCTTGGAGTCTCTTGGCGCAAGCTGCCGAGATCACCCCAAGCCCTTAGAAACCCTAAACCCTTACACCCATAAACCCTACACCCCAAACCCAAAACCCCAACCCGAAACCCCAAACCCAAAACTCTAAGCCTAAGCAATCAACCCAGCGACCAGCCCTTTAAAGAACCCTGAAAGGAACCCCTATAATACCCTTCAAAGGAAACCAAGGCCGGGATCGCAGCTGAAGCGGACGATCCCTTCGTCTTGCTGCTCACCTGCCGGAGCCTCGGTGTAAGCAGTCAGATGTAGTCGGGAAAAGCCCTGAAGAGGGTTTAGGGTTTAGGTTAGGGTTCAGGGTACCTTAATAGACAGAAACATGCTTTTTGCAGATGTCGCGCTCAGGACTCCGGTTTGAGTGAGGGTCTCGCGCTGTGTGGCAACATGTCCGAAAGCAGGGTGCAGGACCTCGGTAAACTGGCTTTGGATTGAAGGTTGATGGTTGAGGATCACGTGGTTTGCGGTTTAAAAGACGCCGGAGTCCCGTATTTAGTGCCTTGCTCGTACCCCGGATTGTTTGCATAGTTGAAGGCATTCAGCAGCAGTCAGGAAGATACGGAATTCTTGAACACGGTGTTGCACATTGCGTTTGCTACTTACATGTTTGTCACGCATAGAGGTGGTGCCAGACGGTCTTTGGCTAGTGCAGTGACTCTATGACTCTATGTCACCTTAGGATGAACTTCTGTTGGCCATGGAAGGACGGACAGCCATGAACCCAAACCCTAAACCTAAACCCTAAAACAGCCCTGAACTCTAAACCCCCTAAACCCGAAATCCCAAACCGATTCTTGTGCAGGCACTCTCAGGCATCTCTCGCTCACAGAAGTAGCACAGCTGTTGCAGCATAGAACCTGACTAGTCCAAGTTGGCAGGCGGACAAACACACATGGCTGCATCGCACAAAGCAGAGAGAATCTTTTCAAAACGTGTCAGTGCATCGTATTGTGTGGGTCTCGGAGCTTGCAAAGCCGGACGAAGAGCGCTCTCATAGTGGCCGGTTTGGCTGCGACATAGGTTTGGTCTTACGGCTGCAGCTCTGGCACGTAGGTTCTTGTCGTTGAAGGAATGCATGTAGTTCTGGAAAAGATGGTTGTGAAGTCCTTTTTAGAAAGGTGCACTACTTTTTCTTGGTACCTGAAAAAGCATTTAACAAGGCATCCCAGGTTGCAGAACTTCCCATGTGCCGAAGTCCTTTTGCACGCGGCCCGACAAGCGGTCTTCGTATCATCGGGGGCAAGGATGAGACAAACTCTCCGCCTCGGGATCAGCATGCTTTTCAGATCCAGGGTGTAGTGTCTGATCCCACCATAGGGGCTTTAATGCCTAGAATAGGGTTTTTGGGGCCCATGATACTATATTACCCCAAACCCTAAACCCTCAAACCCTGTCCCACTCTGGTGGCACGCGACACTTACCGAATCTGGTGTCTCCAAAACAGACCAGTTGACCGTTCATCCGCAGGGCACAAGTGTGAAGATATCCAGCCGAGACCGCTACTACCGGGCCTAAATCTGCTGGTACGTCGCACTGTCCGAAGCTGTTTCGCCCGAAACAAACTAGCTCACCATCAATCTTCACAGCGCAGGTGTGGGAATTGCCGGCAGAGACTGCTGCAACTGGCCCCAAGTCTGGCGGCACGTCACACTTACCATCCGAGTTGCTTCCAAAGCAGACCAGTTGACCGTCCAACCTGACGGCACATGTATGCGAGTAGCCTGCAGACACTGCCATAACAGGTCCCAAGTCTGAGGGTACGTCGCATCGACCATTCGCCTGTTTCCCGAAGCATTTTAAGCCTCCATTAGCCTCACTCACCGCACAGGTGTGAGAGTATCCTGCAGAGACTGCTGCAACTGGCCCCAAGTCTGCTGGCACTGCGCACTGCTCCTCCAAATTATGCCCAAAGCAGACCAGCTGATCATCCGCCCGCACCGCGCAGGTGTGCAAGTATCCGGTTGAGACGGACACCACGGGGCCCAAGTTCGGGGGCACCTCGCACTTGCCAAACCTGTTGCATCCGAAGCAAACCAGCTCCCCGTCTGTGCTAACGGCACAGGAGTGGTCAAAGCCTGCTGAGGTGGCCACAACAGGCCCCAAAGCAGCAGGCACATCACACTCGCCATCCGAGTTGCCTCCGAAGCACAGGAGGCGACCATCCGACTTTACTGCACAGGTGTCAAGATAGCCTGCAGAGACTGCCATAGATGGTCCGTGGCCGGCTAACAACGTCTGCACCGCGGCGAAAAGCTTCTTTGCACAGCCTAAGATGCTGCGTTTTCGCACGGGCAGAGGCTGCCTGATGCGAAGCAGACGCCAGCCATCTAAAACTTCTGCAGGCCCCCTGTTGCGCACAAACCCGCGGAGCTGGCCGTAGACCATTTGGCACTGCGGCTGCTCAGGAACGGGTGCAGGCTTGGGTGCAACAGGCTGCAGGTGGTATGGGCCCTTTGTGAGGGCTCAGAATCCTCGAATCCGACAGTGAAGCCCTAAAGCCGTAAATTAAACACTCGAAAGCCCGTTAGCCAACTTGCCATAATGTAGACCAGTCATGATTAATGGTTAACCCGGTTTGGTAAAGGAATTTCGTGTTAAAGCGGAACCGATAACAAACGCACAACCTACCACTACCTACACTGCCACGCCGCAAGCCGAGATAGTTGACTCCACGATGGCGCCGAAATGCGGCAACCCCAGAATCACTATAACCCTCCTACATCCAGCATCCAAAACTGCAGACCGTAGCACACAATAAGAACACTTTGGCATGTCCTTGTGAGCTGAACACATGAAAGTAAGTTCTCTTAATCAGTCTTGCTGCAAAGGTTTGGCGACGGCTATGATCCCCGAAGCCGTGAACCCCGAAACCAACGCTGATGCGGCCCAACCCCCACAGCGATGCAGCGCTGCAATCTAGGACACTGGGATCTTTCCCAAACAGGAGCTTCAGGATCAGGAGACTGGCCCCATCAGGTTTGGCCGATGCGCGTCTCGCCATACAAGAGTCTAGACCCTAAACCTGTAAACCTTCGGTTGATGATATAAATCCTGCATTACCCAGAATAAGGAATATACCATAATTCCCATAAGGAGGATTTGTATCATCAACCGTTGCAACCTAGATCCGAACAAGAAGCCAGTGACGCCGAGACCTGAGCTGGGTCTAACACCCTCTATATACATATATATACATATATCTATATATATATATATATATATAGAATGGGTATACAATAGCTATATTAAGGGTCTATAATAGCTATATTAAGGGTATATAATGGCTATATTAAGGGTATATACCTAGGGGTCCTTATTAAGGGTCCCTCCTGTTACCCTTGGATCAATTCCACAGGCAAATCTCATCCAAGTCATAAGCCCCCAACACCCGCGAATCCCAAAGTCCCACGACAGAAGTTCCCTCAAGCGTCGAAGCCCTACAGTCTAACCCCTAGACTTAAAGCCCCCTAGACCCCTAGACCCTAAATGCCCTTTTCAAAACCAGTCGTGAGCCCCCAGGCCGGGCCGGCTGTCAAAGAGGGCAGGCCCTGCACAAAGTCGAACTCAGCAAGTAAATTAGAGGATCTTGTTTTGTTTTTCTTGTTTTTATGGGCCCTTTTCCGTCTTGTTTAGGAAGGTTTAAGCTCAGCAAGTACATCATAGGGTTTTTTGGTAAATGCAATGGGCCTTGTCCAGTGCGGCGACCCTGCCCTTGTGCAGGCTTACACAGAAAACATCAACTTGTAGCAGGTACAATGGGGTCTAGGGTTTCGGGAAATCTGACAATGACAATAAGAAGGATTAACACTGCAATAAACAACATCCTTCGTAGGGAAATCATAAGAAGGAGCCTTAAAAACGAGGTATTAGAGGGTTCAGGGAGTGGTTAAGGAGCTTGCGTTCTCTTGACGGTGCTTTTTGGGTATGTAGGTGATGGGTAACTGCATCCTGCTTACAAAGTCTCTTCACCTTCAACTATTGCTCGGGGTTGGGATGACATGGAACTCCGATGCCGTGCATCAGTGAACTCAGGAGCCCCACCCCTTAAACGCTCAAAGGCTGTCCTTGACAAATTTGTGAATGTGAAATGCTAGCTGCATTGCGCATGGGATCCCACATACATATATGTGTGTATATATATATACACACACATACTGGTACTTCCGCATATATATATATATATATATGAATATATATATATATGTATATATATGTATATATATATATATATATATATGTCTGTACCTGTGTGCGTGCACACACACACAGAGACGAAGACATATGCGTTCAGCCTAATCTGCACAGCACGGCGAGAAGAGAAGCAGACACACAAAGCTTTGGGAAGTGTGCGAAAGGCTTTGCAGTGCACGACTTTGTGTTCAGCGGCTCAAACCCACGTAGACCCTACCTAAACAATCCTAAACCCTAAACCCTAAACCCTAAACCCTAAACAATCCTAAACCCTAAACCCTAAAATCACGAAACCCCAGAAATCCTCAACTCCAGGCCCAGCCCTTCTTGACCGCAAAGTCAAAAGCCTTCGAGCCCGAAAGACTTTCGAATCCCAAAGGCCTGACGCGTGGAAATCCCTCCAACACCCGACCAGCCTAGTTCACCATCAAACAACCACACCTAAAAGCCACAAAATCCCTATAACTCGGAAGCCCCCAAACCGTAAAAAAACACCATGAGCTCCAACAACAACGCGCCAACAGGCTCAACTTCCCCATGATTCGGAGGCCCCAAACCCTCAAACCCAAGCCCCCAAAATCCCAACAAACACCCGAACCCCAAACCCTAAACTAAGCACCCTAAAACTCAGACAACAATATCAACCCCCAGTCCTCCTCCTCGTCATGTAGGGAGGCGGGCCCCTCAGAAGCTTGAGGACAGTGGGCTTTTGTTGAGGCTTAAGGGCTGTAGGGCTTTAGGGCTTTGGGGTTTGAGGGCTTATAATAACGTCTACAGTTCGCTTCGGTTTGTTGCCATTCCAGTTGCTGCCGGACTGCGCCTTTTGATTACTAAGCCAAACCGCAAGCCCTAGCCCGAAAAGCCCTAACCCTCAAGCCTTAACTCTAAATGGTAGACCTCAACCCAAACCCTAGACCCGGAACACTAAACTCTAACTCCTACACTCCTAGGCCCTAAACCCTAAATCCTAAACTCTAAACCCCAACTCTAACATTGAGGGAATACAGGATTGACGTGTTTAGGGTTTATGGTTGTAGGGGCTTAGGGTTTAAGATCTATGCCCATGTAAAAGTGGGCTACTTTTGGGGCTTCCATTTTTTGGATTCTTGAAAAAAGACCCGTTTTGTCTCCTGGATCCCAAGCCCGAAATGCAGTTTGCCAGACGATGGTTCAAAGCTGTGGAGGACCAGGTTTGTACTTGGAAGGTCGGGGGACTTAGTAAGTAGGTAGTAAGAAGACTTATAAGTACCCTAATAGGGACCCTAAATGGGGGTTACGATGTACTTATACGTCTCGAAAATCGCGATTTACTAAGTCCCCCGACCCTCCAAGTATGTTTCCCCTTGCAACTCGGAGCTGCTAAAATTGCAAGAACCATGTTTGTTCAGCTGCAACAGGTGCAAGGCCGCTCAAACCCTTCCCGCACACCTTCCATCTGAAGTCGCTTCCTTCCCCCAGCCCCGAAACCTCAAGTTCACTGCTTTGCCAGACTCATTGCCTGTGGCCCTACCGCACAATTCCAGCCGAACCCTAAATACCCTAAACCCTAAACCTAAACCCCTAAACCCTAAACACTAAACCCCTAAACCCTAAACCCTAAACCCTAAACCCTAAACCCCTAAACCCTAAACCCTAAACCCCTAAATCCTAAACCCTAAACCCTAAACCCTAAGTTCAAAACGCGGCGCGCCTCTAAGCTGTTGTCTCCCCAGAGATTTTCTGCTTCATGTCTGGCCTCTTGGTTTCAGAGCCACGGTTTAGGGTTTAGGGTTTAGGGTGTTTCGGGCATCACACAGTTCCACTGTAAGGGGGGGGGGGGGGGTAGAGTGCCAAAGTTTATGCAGGACCGGCTTCCTTTGCTTTCCGAAGTTGATGGTAGTCTTTATTGGGGGATGGTACAAACAAGATCCGATTTTCCCCCAATTTGTCTCCTAATACACTTATAGTACCAAAGGCCCCAACACCCCGCCTGATTATGCAGGCTGGACACCAAATCCTTACACAAACCATGAGCACAACCGTTTAGTAGACACTCATCTTACAACCGTTAAAAAGGACCGACATTAGACACAATCCTTGTATAGCCCCCAACACCTTCTGAAACCCCTCTAGAACCCTGTATCGAGAAAGCCTAAACGGCTTAGGGTTTAGGGTTTTGGTTTCGGGCTGAGGGTTTTGGTTCAGGGTTTAGGGTATACCCTAAACCCCAAAAGTGCAGAGCCTCGGGATGCTTGCTCTTGGGACATGGGATGTCAGGGCTATCTAGAGACTGCGGCGCCCCTTCATAGGGGGGAAGGTGCCTTTTAATCGAGTTAGAGTTAGGGCTTAGAGTTAGGGCCTAGGGCTTTGTGTTTAAAATGTCTTGACTGTGGGGTTTAAGCTTCAAGGTTTGGGGGGCTGAGGATCCCTCTGCAATCCAAGGTCTATTGATTCATGCAGGGAATGTACCTTTGTCCCTGGGCTCTCTGGAAACCTAACTTTTCAAGATTGTCCGTAAGAGGTCCTCCTGAGGTTGTGTAAGGAGTTTGCATGGCGGGGCTATTGGTTCAGGCTCAGGCCTTTGGGGTGTTGCGGTTTGCGGTTTGAGGTTCGGGCTTTCCATTGCAGTGATGCTGGGTAAGGATGTTGGGTTCCGTGCTTACGGCCTAGGATTTCGGGGTCTGTAGGTTTCAAGATCAAGCGGTAAGTTGTTGCTGCAAAAACCACTCGGACTTCGAGGGCCTGCTCCAGCAGATCCTTCTCGGCCGCATCTTGTGGCGAGCCGGGTTCTTCTGGTACATCCTCCTTTCGACGAAAGAGTTCAAGGTTTCGGATTCCAGGGTTTGTGGGCTTCGTTTAGGCATTCATGGTTTGTGGTTTAGCGGTGGCGAGATTCGGGTTCAAGCAGAGTTCTATTTTCCGGGTTTGCGGTGAAGGGATTCAGAGCTTCAGGGCCTTTGCTTAGTGAACGGAAACGATACGTAGGGTTTGAAGTTTAAGACTTAGACTCATGCTGTGGTGCATTTGGGTAAGGGTACCGGCTACAGATGAAGGTTATATAGTGATTTGTGGTAACAAAAATATGCAAGTCTGTCGTTTCAGTGCTGGTTCTTGCAATAATCATTGGAAAACTATAATGTTGCAAGTTTCGGACGCGAGACTTTGGCATCGGAGCACCCACACATCTTTATAATGTTTGATCACTGAAAGAATACACCAGCCAGAGCCACATGGCAAAAGCAAAAACACGGTTGGTCCAAAAGGTGCACCGCAGGGCCGCAAAGGAACCGCCCCACGACTGGCGATTAACCTACCCCCTGTCACCAGAACTCCAAAGTTTTCATTTACGGAATCACGCGCGCAGTCCGTGTTTGCAGGAGCCGTGTTTGCCGCATGTGTTCTGCATTTTGTCACGGTTGTTGCAAAACGAGCTGTGGTTCCCCGGGCCACTCTGCGGTGTTACATGCGGGGTCTTCCTCACCACAATTCTCGACGGGCTCAACTAGTCAGCAGCTATGCTATAGCTGGATGAAGGGATCCACTGGTTTGCGCAGTGAGCCACTAACCTTTCAAGCAACATTCTACGCTTCGGGTTTGGGGCACATTCCCATCCTGCGACAGACGTTGCTGTGGTTGTTTGGTTCTCCACTGCCGTTCCTGACTGTCACATGGTGCAAAGCGGCATTCTGAAGGTCGACCAACAGGCTCTCATGTCTTGGACCTCCGCAGGACTTGCAACAGGGCATGCATCATCAGCTTGGCGAACTTTTTGTTGCTTGCTCTGTAGCTGAACCAGAAGTCTTCACTGCTGACGGTCGACGCACACACAAACTTGCCGGTTTGACATAGTGACACACACACACACACGCACGCACGCACACGAAGACCCCAAATGTACCCAAACCCCTGCGCACGAGGGTTCAGGATGCTTCGAGAGTGGCCATACCATGTCAGTATCCAGAATGATTCGAACGCCCACAACCACCGTCATCTCGAGGGCACTCGACTTCGGACTGAATCCCTGCGTGCCACAAGCACAGAAGCAGAAACCTCGAAACTGAATCGGATGTCATTGTTGCTTACAGTGACTGGGCCGACTGTAAGTTTAGGGTGGGCGGAGTGCTACACTCCCGGCAAGCCTAAAACCCCTAAGCCCTCAGGCTCTTTGAGCCTAAAAGCAAACCAGGACCCTCCTTGTATCCTCAAATACGGGTATGATATGGTCTCAAGAAATCGGCAGTTAGGGTCTGCTGGAGTCTAGATGCAGGGTCCAGGCATGTCTGTAGAATCATACATTCATGGTGCCGATCCATTCACTTTAAATCGAAGATGGTCCTATCCCTACACCAAGTCTACAGCTTACTGAATATATGTGGTATAATTTACACTTGCCGTAGTCGCGATGCCTGAAGGTGGGAAATTTTGCAAATGCCACACAATACTGGAGTGCCTACGGCAGATGCCACAAAATCCTACATCCGAGGGTTGGGGGCGTAGGGTCCAGGGTTTGGACCAATCAGGTTCGGGGATACTGCGGAGCCTTGCGGCCATGATACGACTACATTGGGGCTTACTTGACTGCGATAGGGTTTTGGGACCTTAGAATCCGGTAGTGCAAATCTTTCTGATAGTGTTTGGATACGGTTATTACCAGCTTCATGCCTTATGGTCTTTGCATTCAGTGTGGCCACCGAGAACTCTGGCCACGGTGCCTCAATACTTTCCATTACCCTTGAGTTCTACGGGGGAGTGCTTGGAGCTCAGGGGCGTAGCAGCTTGGGTTGGTTGATGCTTGGAAATTTACGAGGACCAGTGGAAAAGCACAACAAGAAATTGTCCGATTTGTCCGCGGGTTTGTAGCAGTTTTAGCAAAACCTTCAAAGCCACAGCTGAGCGCCCGGCATCCAAAACTGACGCCTGAGATGTTGGGTGCAAAAGCCGTGACTTCTCCATCAAACATCGGGCCTATACGTTCCACGGGGCTATGGCTTGGGGTTTAGGGTGCTTCGGGATCCACGGGCTCTGAAACCTATATCGATTTTTAAAAATGCACAGATTCTAATACTGGTGCATGTTTTCGATGAGCCATTAGACGCAAAAGGAGATGAACAATGCTTAACAATCCATCAGCTTTATACTATAACATGATCAAAACCTGTTTGTAAGGAGGACCTCTGTCTATTGCCCGCAAGTTCCCCCTTCCAAAGCTTCACGGGCTCCCAGCTGGATGTTACGGAGCTTTGGGGTTTTGGGTGCGGCGTTTATTCAGAAAGGCTTGGGCGCGTATGAGTGCTAGGTGTTGGGCATTCTTCAGAATCTTTGAGGAGTCTGAGACTCAGGAGTTTGGGGTGTGCAGGTTAAGGCCTATAGCGGGCGGGGTTTAAAACTTCAGCTTGAAACCATGATAAGGATCTCTATGACTTCAGGCATCAGTATGCGGGTAATATGAAAGAACACCCCTATAACAACCCGATGTTTTGTGCAGTCTCTGGGCACCTGTTCCGGCCTGGGCACTGGGTCTCCGGTTCTCAATCCTAAGCCCGAGACCTCCAGAGGCAGACTCGTAAATGGCAGCCCTTCACGAAGAAGACAGTAGATCCCCAGAGAGCCCAATTACCCCTTAAATAAGGAAATATGGCTTAAGTTATAGAGGGCTTCATATTCTGACTTACGCTCTATTCCTTAATTAAAGGGGTATTGGGGCTCTTTGGGTCCCAGCTTCATAACCCCCGCTGTTGTATCAAAAACCTTGTGGGAGTCTGCATAGCAGATGGCCGAAGATTCAGAATGCCGTGTCTTAGATTTAATGTGGGGTTGTGGTTTTCCAAGCCTAACTTAGGGGGTTAAGGCCGAGGGTCTTCGGTAGCATAATGGAGTATATTCGAGAGCCCTACGGCACAAATAACATGACTATTTTTGTTCAGGCCCTGACGCTAGACCCTACTTGGAGGATCATGGGACATAGTAAGTAAGGTTATAAGTACCTTAATTGGGGTTATAAGTATGATTACCTTATTTTTAACCCTAGTTACTAAGTCCCATGACCCTTTAAGTAGACTGTGAAACCGTAAACCTGAAACCCTAAACCCTAAAGTCCTCTGCCCCCAAAAAACACATCCCAAACCCTGAAATCCTAAACCCTGTAAATATCGGGGCTTTAATGATTAGAACAGGGTTTTGGGGCCCATTATAATACTATAAATATCATAATGTAATTATTGGGCAGTTGTTGGGGCCCCTATATTTGTTGAACCCTACTATAGATCCCTGCTATAGACCCCTTTGAGGAACCCAAACCCTCTACCCAACGCAAGCTGAGCTGCTAAACCCTAAACCCTAAACCCGGCCCAAGTGCCCAATCGTCAAGCTCTAGAGCTTGCACGGACTGTGTGTCCTGCACGGCTTTGGGTTTAGGGCTTCGGTCTCAGAGTTTCGGGTCTGAGGTTTAGGGCTTAGGGCTTAGAGTTTCGGGTCTGAGGGTAGGGGTCAAGGGTTGTAGGGTCCCAGGTTTTAAGTGAGATAGAAGCAGGCAGCTGCTGGATGGGTGGTTAAGAATTATGCTGCTTAGTCCGCCTTTGTCCACGGCTTTTTCTTATCCGTATATTTCGAGCCCTGCCGTGCTCTGGCGGCTGCAGCATTCGACTTATCAGTTGATCTTTGCCTGCTTTGCATATGCTTTGTATAAGCGATAAACACCCTGCCGAAGGAGACCCCTAATATTCCGAACCCTCTGATTTGAAGTTCAAGGCATTCCCCGGCGCATGACGTCGCGCCTGCAATGCTGCGCAGCCTTGCCACAGCCGCTGGGCGCAGTCTCCTGGGTTTGGGATGGAGGTTGTGGATCGGATTAGGGTTTAGGGTTTAGGGGTTGAGGTTTAAGGCTAAGGGGTTTAGGGTTGAGGGCTGCAGCTTTGAATGACACGCCACTTGCTGAGCAGAGGGTCTGAAACGGTGCACACAATGAAAGTGCAAGACTGGGTCGGAGAAGTTCCCTTCTCCATGGCAGGTGTTCTGAGTATCCGGTTACCCCGATATAACTGTTCAGTAAACTGTCTTTTGTTTCAGAAGCATGCCATTTCAGAAGCCCTTGGCCCAGTGCCACTTCCAATCATACTAACTACAGTGAACCCCTTAAAGTTGGAAACCGGATTAAGGCCAAATAGTGCTGGGATTCCCTATACATGACTATTGAGGATTGAGACGATTGGGTTTCCAACTTTGGGCTTCTACTGTACTCAGACTGTTGCTGCCACAGCCCAGCATTCGGTATACCTCACTTTGTCGTAACGATCGCTTATCTCAGTGCTGAGGCTTATACAGCATAGACGAAGCGTGCAACTAGCCCTACGGAAGACAGCAACACGATGTGATTTGTTCGGGACGAGAACGACAGTGGGCATCGTCGTCGTCACCATCTTCAAAACTAGTGCAAGTACTATCATGACCAAGCAATTGCCAATCACTCGGCCTTCCCAGCCCCCTGCCCGGGATCGGTTTGGCAAGGTGCAACGTCCCTGCATCCGCAAGGCGAGGGTCCAAACTCACCCTTAGGCGCCCTGTTTCTCTCCCAGCTCTGGGCGACAAAGCTCGCGTCATCATCATCACCACCACAATCATCACCACTCCCTTCATCTTTGTCATCGTTAAATCAGCATCATCACATGACCATGAGAAGCATGCTCGGCATGCGCCATCATGACCATGCACCAACTAAACAACAGCATCAACGTCGCTAGAGACTTTCATCTCATCATCGGACGTCTTGCTGTGAGCCAACATCCTCATCGTCTCCGTCAGAAGTATAACCAGACTACAACCATCTGGACTTGTCTCATCAGCACGACACATGATCCTCGATCACGGCAGTGGGAGCAGTGGCATTCAGGCAGAGATTCATCGATAAGCCACGGCGTAGAGTTTAGGGCTTGGCACTTGGGAACTCGTAGCTCAAAAGCATGAAGGGGTTAAATCGCGAAGCCGGAGACCTTTGAAGAAAAGCCTGAGGCACAAACCGTAATACGCCGTAGTATCCGGGGGTTGTCAAAATTATGGTCCCTTTTTGGATTCCTATTATAGTACGGCACCTAATATTTAGGGTACCCGAAAAGGGACCCTAATTTTGACAACCACCCATCCGGACCCCAAAGCTTCAAGCGTAAACCCCAAACCCTGCCTGGACCCCGAAGAACCTACCTTTCTAAAGACTTATATGGGAGTTTTCGAAAATAGGGGACCCTAATATAGTGCCCCAAATAGTAGGTAGGATCCTTATTATAAGGCCCCTAAATAAGCTACCCCTAACTTCGGAAACTCCCATATAAGGAAATCATAGTAAGGAACCCTGAATGTGTGGGCTTTCTAGCGTCCAGGTAAACCCTATAAACCACAAACTGCAGAACCTCAGACAGGTCTCTGAGGCGTTTCATCTGCAGGAGCCGCATCTGTCACAGGCATTGGGTTTTGGAGTTCCCTAAGCCCTAAGCCCCAACCCCTAAACCCGAAAGCCCTAAACCCTCAGGGTTTCAGAGTTTCGCGGTTCAGGGCTCAAGGTCAAGGGCTTACAGGGCTTATGGGCTTCGAGGTTTGGGTTTGGGTTGTAGGGTGGGTTTGGGTCTATTTAGTTTAGGGTTTATAGGGGTTCGGGATTTCAGACTTTTCGAGGTACAGGGTTAAGTTCAGGTTGAAGGGTCCAGACGTTATACGGCTCGAGCTTTAGAGCTTAGGTAAGGTGGCTCGGGGTTAGAGTATGAGGGTTTAAGGGTCTTTGATTGAAGGGTTCAGGATGCAAACCGTAAACTCTAAGCCCACTGTGTATCGCGGTTCTATCGCGATTCAGGGCTTGCTATCCAATGTTACCTGAGGCTCGGGGTTAATTAAGGGTTCAGGGTTTAGGGGGCTGGGCTCTTAACTGACACTTGGCACACCCCCGAATTCCTACTCCCTCAACTACCGTGACATCCGTAAGTTACTTGTTCGTCGTAGGTAGTGAGCTCTACATAAGGGCATGCTACCCAAGCTCACCTCGAAGAGACTGTACCCACAGCCCTCTCCTGCACCCTAAACCCCAAGGCCTAAACCCTAAATTTTGGGGGGCCTCGATCGTGCCGAGCCGCGTCGCCAGGGCTAAGTCGCCTCTCTGGGTTCCCTTCAAGGGTTCCTTTAAGAGCACCTTTAAGGGTAGGGTTTCTTTGTGGGTTCCTCAAAAGGGCTCCTTTAAGGGCGCCTTTGAGGGTTCCTGTCAGGCGCCCAGACCCCCGGAAGGATCCCAAAAGCAGATCCCTTCCTTTATGGCTTCCCTAAAAAGATCTAGATGAGGGCTTGGGGATGGAAAGAATTTAAGGGTTCCCAGGGTTTCGAAAATCGATCTCTCACAAGTTAGGGCCACAAATAATCCTCCAGGGAGGGGGTCTGGGGCTTAAAGCTTTTCAGTGCTTTCAGGGCTTAGAGCTTAAGGGGTGTAGGGCTGCCGGGTTTTGGGGGTCTCGTTTTCTTTCCGGAAGCTTTGGCGGATCTTTTAGTGTCTTATAACAGGTCAGGTCTTGATGTGGGCTTAGGCCTTTCGGTTGTAGGGCTTGAAGGGTTCAGGGTTTTCGGGTTTGGGGCTTCAGAGATTTAGGGCTCTGCTATGGGGCTGTAGAGCTGTAGGGCTTTCCGATGGCAAGGCTAACCGTTTGACGGCACCTGTAGAAAGTTTCGATTCCACGACAGAGGTTCGAGGTGCTCCGGATTTGGGGATCTGAGTTTTAGGTGGTGGCCTTCACAGTGGAGGCTTTAGGGATTCAGGATTTAGGATTTTGAGGTTTGGAGCTTCAGGTCAAGCGCAGCTGTGTGGGAGTTGCATGAATAGGCTCGAACGTTTCAGCTTCTCCCTCAACGCCAAATCCCACATGCAGCCTGAACATAAATCTCTTGATCTCAAGCAAAGGACTTCAAGGCGTTCTCTGTACAGACCGCCTTTCCTCATTTGACTCACCCCATTGTGCCCCGAAACGTCGAAAGACACTAAACGACAACCCAAACCGGGCTCGCAAAACGGATTTCAGACTTGGATATTCAGGAGTCGACTAGCACCCGAAGTCAACCTCCAGACAGTGTATGACAGATTACCATCCAGACTTCGGCAGGACACAGAACTGATGACTTCGCGTGTTAGCACTATGCCCAGGTCCATTTCTCAAAACACAGCTAAGCTTCTGCTAGGTGTCGTTTAGGGTTTAGGGTGTCGGGACACCCAAGCCCCAAAGCACACCCCAAAACCTGATAACACCCGGTGGGAACCCCAGAAGGCAAACCTTCAACCATGCAGGCAGTAGACGAACCTAATGATCCCAACATCCCTGATATGAATATTCCTTAAGTCATCATGTGAGACTATCTCCGAAGCTCAAGCACACAGGGCTCTCAAGCTATTCCTACACTGGGTGTCGATTGGACAATCCCCAAAACTATGCATACTTAGGGCGTAGAATCGTAGAATAAGCAACAAAGAAAATCGTAAATTATTCCCAGATCGATACCTAATACAACAAAGTTGCAACTGCAGCCTGCAGCTCCCATCAACAAATCCTGCGAAACACTTCTATAACACTCTTGCGAACCCCCTGGACAAACTGCATGAAGCCCTGATATGAGACTCTTGTCATAGGGACGCTTTGGAGGGTAGGGGAGGGCCTTAATGCCCATAATAAGGACCTAACAAGGCCTATGTAAGGAAATATAGTCCCCTCCCCCCTCCCCCCACCCCTGTAAGGGTCCCCATGATCTTGTAACTAGAGCCTCATGACACATGTGTCATTGTGAAAGGCCTGAAGGACGGGCGCAGCATTGCCACCTGGCGGGAACCAGGCCAACGAACCTTCGGATGGGCTTGAGAGCCGGCTTCAAAAGGGTCCTGCAAGGGTTTATAAGAGGCTCTTTTTTAAAGTTGAGCTGCGCCCTTTCTCCGAAACAATCGCTGTCATTTTGCCCTCAACTGGTGACAGGGGTTTAGGGTTTAGGGGGTTTAAGCGGTTTAGGGCATATCATGTTCGGCTCCGTGGGCTTAGGGGTTGGGGTTGGATAGGATTCAGTGTGTATAAGTATGAGGTACCCCTCATGTTCGGAAACTCTAAACCCTAAACCCTTTATAGAACCCTCATAGATCACTTTAAAGGAACCCTTATAGTACCCTTAAAGTAACCCTTTAAAGGAACCCTACTAAGGTACCTGTATATAGGGGGGTTGGAAGTCCCAGGTTTCCCGTGCACTTGAAGGGTCATGGGACTTAGGAACTAGGGTTATAATTAAGGTAACTATTTTGAAAACCACTTATAACCCCAATTAAGGCACCCATAACCTTACTTACTAAGTCCCATGATCTGCCAAGTCGGGGGTTTTGGGGACTTTGGGAGACGCCCAGCAGGTAGTTTCCGAGCATGTGGGAACTTAATTTTGTACCCTAAATCGTAGGATCCTTATTTTAAGGATCCCAAAATAACGTACCCCTAATTTTCGGAAACTCCCAAATAGAGTAGGGTTCGTGGTGTCGTAAGCTCTACTAGAACTTGTTTCTAAGCACGGAGGCACTTGGGGTTTGGAAGGATTCAGAGCTTCCAGATGCTTCAGTATTTAGGGACTTCGCTCTCAAGGCTTGGGTGGCTTGGGTGCTTGACACAAGATCATAGCAAGACTGCTGCTGGTACTCATCGGGAAAGGCTCTTAAAGAAGAGTTGTGTTACTTGCGGCTTAGGATTCAGCTATCTGCACAAAACTTGTGCAAGCTTTTCTTGCCATCGATAACTGCGCCTAGCGACTTGCGCGTTCGCCCCGAAATCGTCTGTGGTGCCTTCACCCCAACTCTCAACCCTAAACCCAGAGCCCAGTTCCGCATCTGCTCTTGACCGGCCTCACGGACTTCCCGACGGCGTACATATCCACCTGCAGGCGGCAGCCAGATCTCCATAGGGTTTCGGGTTTAGTTTAGGGTTTAGGGTTTAGGGTTTAGGGTTTAGGGTTTAGGGCCCCCCCCAAAAAAAAGTTGGAAACCCAGTAGCATTCACTCTCCCGGCATGAGGCAACCCCTGCAGAGCTCGCGAAAGAACAGCTGCAGTCCTGAAGGCCCTCTAGGATTGAGGTCTCAGGGTTTCGGGCTTAGGTTATAGGGCTACCCTAAACCCTATAAATACTAAAGCCCTATAAATCCTATATCCTGTTTCATGCCGAACCGAGAGCCTGAAACTGAGACTTTCCTTCGGCTATCATCTGTTTGGGAGTCAAGGTACTCCGAAGCAACCGACTCGAGGTAGCCACTTGGAGGGTCGGGGGACGTAGTAAGTTGTTGTTTCATGGAGCTATAAGTGTCACAACCCCAATGAGGGTCCCTTCTAGGGTACTCATAACTCTACAAAACAGCTGCTTACTAAGTCTTCCGACCCTCCAAGTAGGAGCCAAAGGCCCACCGCGTTCTCTTTGGAATCGCGATACCTTTGTGGGGTGATGGCAGGATCCTAGCTTCGAGTAGGGTCATGTTTAGGAATGTGTACGGCGTGGGGTTTAGGCCAGGGCTGAGGGTTTACCGTTTGAGGGGAGGCGCAAATTCGCACGACTCCGGAACGATGCAGTGTTCGTTCCATCTGCCGCAGGACAGAAACCCCTGTGGCAACAGTTACAGAAACTTATCAGATATCACACCCTACCGTAGCGGAAAAACCCAAAGCATGCAATTCAGCCCCTACCGTAAACCCAAGGACACCCTACGACTTCTTTTTTGCTCTCACGGAAGGCTGCTGGAAGAGCATGAGCTGCTGGCATCGTCGCTCGAAGACATCGACATCCTGTCGCCAAACCATTCCTTCACTGTCAGAACTTACAGTAGAAGCCAGAAAGTTGGAATATGGTTTCATGGTAGGATACACTAAAAAAACCATAGAAGGGTTAGGATAATCATATTCCAACTTTCTGGCTTTTACCTTAGAGTGTAGGGTTTAGGGGCGCAGCGCTCGAGGGGTCTAAGGTTCAGGGGTTTAGGGCTGTTGGTGTTCAGGGCCCAACTGCTTTCACCCTTTACAATAGGTATGTTTGGAGAATGGCTGCCCGGCTCATCGGGTGTCATCGTTGGCACACAACAACCCGCACAAACTAGCTTACAAAGCCTTTGAAAATAAACACAGTGCCAAACGTAAATCATCATGGAGCCTCTGTAGAGCCTGAACCCTCAACGTTACACCCTAATCAGTAGGCCCCCATACATCTCCGAAGACCTCATACACCCCACACCGTAAACACCCTAAAACCCCGCAAAAGCTCAAACATCTCCAAAAGATGCATAAACCCTCAACCTGACGCCCTACCTTAACCCCCAAATAACAAACCTTTTTGAGGACTTATATAAAGAATTCATGACAAGGAACCCTAAAAAGGTAGGTTCTTCGGGGTAAAGGTATATCCTAGGAACCCCATTCAGCCTGAAATGAACCCCGGCTCCTGGATTCCACGCAGCCGTTCCAGCAGGAAGCCTTCCTTCGACAACCTCGGCTCTTTCTTGCTTTCGAGACCCCTGGTTCTCGAAGTATTGTTTTAGATTTTGTATTTTTGGTGTGGGGTGGGAGTTTTGGGTTCAGGGTTTAAGGTTGAGGGTTCAGGGCTGGGTCTTTTTAACTCTCGCTTTTCCCAGGTTTCGGGGTTGAGGGGCTATGTAGGGCAACAGGGAACATGTGGGATAACAGACGGCGCCCTGATTTTGGTCTGAACCTCCGAGCTTAGTAATTTGTGATTGTATTTATATTGCCTCGCAAGCCGCATATAACTGCCTGTAGTTCATCTCGAAACCATGTTCTAACAGTGAGGCCCTTGTATCAGAGAACCCTGAAAGAAAACCTGTAGTAGCCCTGAGGCAGCCCCTATACCCTCGAGCCAAAACCATAACGCCTAAACTCTTTGATTCCGTAAGCGCCCAGTAACCGAGCCTCTTGCCTTGCCTTTTCCTCGAACTTCTCGATCTCCAGATCAATGATGTCACAGTACCTAAGATTGAGGGTTTGGGCGTGGCTCTAGGGCTTAGGTTTTAGGGATATGTTTCAGGGAAATTAGAGGTTTAGGGCTTACGGCATGGGTTTTTGGTTTTATGGTTTGAGGGTTAAGGTTTTAAGGCGTTTGGGTTTCTTGAGAGGTTCCGTGTAGAGGCACCTAAACATCTAGACTATTTTCTGAGGGAAACCCTGCGGAATAGTGTTGCTTCTGTTGGCCACTTCTGGTCTCCCATATTTGACAAGGCATTCCTCTCAAGCTCCTAACATTAATCCCTGACGAGGCCCAGGAAATCCTAGATCAACCCTGATTTAATTATGCCCGCAACCCTAAAACATAAATTCAACCTGACTGCCCGCTAATGACCCTACAGAGCCGTTCCCCCAAAATCCCGTGAGCGCTTTAGGGTCTCGGAGATTGGGCTTTAAGGTGCAAAGTCTTTCGCGATTGGAGTTTGGGGTTTCGCCTTTTGGGTTTGGGGTCACATAGCCGAAGAGCAGAAGCGTGTCGGAGACGGCATCGAAGACCATCAGGTACGGAAAGGCAGCCACTAGTGAAATCACGCCCCCTGCGTTTGACCAGAGGTGCGGGTTCCCCACGAAGTAGCTTGAGTAAGGGTTGCCATATCCCTCTAGACCGGGACAGTGGCCACCCACGATTACGTAGACTGTGAAATACCCCGCCCACCAGACGATAGCACCCCAAACCAACTGCATCACAAAGGTGGTGCCGGTCTTCGTGCTGCTGAACGTCACTTGCGTCTCGCCAACCTTGTCTCGTGCAGCCGCAGGTTTCTCAAAAGATCTGATATGATGTCTCGCTGAAATGTTGAGCTTTACCCAAACAAACCTTCCATCTCCAAACCATACTGAGACTGGCTTTACAGTGAAGGGCCTTCCAGAAACACTTTCAACTATGTTTCTTGCTTTCATTAACCCGATTGTGAGCTAGGGGATGTATTTCTATCTACACACAGACAGTAACAATCGTATACATGTGGATGGCGACATACATACATACATATATATATATATACAGACATACGAGCATCTATTTGTTGCTTAGATCCAAACCTAAATAAATAAATACATCCAGTTGCAAACAAAGCGACTAAAGGTATACACAGGCAGCCAGATAGATAAATCTATACATGTGCTTGCAGTATCAGATTCCTGAATTCAACAAAAAACCCAATATCGACAAATAAACAGGTACGTAAAAGCATACTCATGCACGTGTAGTATAAAGATCCTTGGGTAGTATAGGGGCCTCATATAACTAGAACAGGGTTTTGGGGCCCATTATCGTGTAATCATGTTAAGGAGCCCCCACGATAATATTGGGATCTATTTAGCCCCCCCCCCCGCATATCAAGCGACAAGTAGCTTTGCTGGCCAAGACCGCGGCATTCGAGACTGGCTCGGCAGTGAGCGCCAGCTCAACGTATGCATCTGCAGAGAACCTCTCAGGGCTCGGGGCCGTTTTTTGGGTTTAGGGTTTGGGGCGGGTTTAGGGTTAAGTGTTGAGGGTTTAGGGCCGTTTTTGGGGTTTACGTCTTGGCCTGGGGTTTAGGGCAGAGGTGTTGTTTTAGACACATGACAGGGGTTTGACTCAGGAAGCTTCAGCATGCATGGCAAAGGTCATGTCGTCACATGCACGAACATTGAAGACTCAGCTGAACAAGCAGCGTGCCGCAGCTTGCCTTTCGCAAAAGTCCTACCAGGCACCAGCAGCATCAACCACTTGAGCCCTACAGGGATAACACCCCCATGCCTAAGCCCCAAAACCGAAACTCCCTAAAATCCACGATCTAAACACTGAAAGCCTGGACTCACAACATCCCTAAGCCTGCAACCCAATTCGGGAGCCGACCATGATAACGACAACCCGCCTGCTGCTGCTACCACCACCACGACGACGACTACTACTACAACTTCTTCTGCTTCTACTTCTACTTCTACTTCTACTTCTACTTGTACTTGTACTTGTACTTCTACTTCTACTATTGCTACTTCTAGTGCTACTTCTAGTACTACTACTGCTACTGCGACTGCGGCTCGACTGCTGCTACTAATGCTACTGCTACTGCTACAAGCACTGCTACAAGCACTGCTACTGCTGCTTCTGCTGCTAATGCTACTGCTAACTACTACGACGACGACGCCTACTACTACTACTACTACTACTACTACTACTACTACTACTACGACTACTACTACTACTACTACTACTACTACTACGACTACTACTACTACTACTACGACGACGACGACTACTACTACTACTGCTACTACTACTACTACTACTACTACTACTATCACTGCTGCCGCTCAAACACTGACCCGGAAATTGATACACAATCACGACAAGCGCATAAACATAGACACACGTTTGAGTACATACACACCCACACATGTGTGTATTTGTTCTGGTGCTTGAAGATGAACTGCTATTTTGTGCGTGTGTATGTGCATACGCATCTGTATGAGTGTACATACAGCAAATACACCCACATATATATATATATATATATATGTATATATATATGTATATATATATATATATATCATACATACATACATCCGCGCCTACATATACATATGCGTATACATATGCATATACATATGCATACACTTATACATATACTACATATACTTACACACACACACACACACATAAACATGCATACACATAGATAGATCGACAGATATAGTGGCATATGTGAAGATGTGGCTCCATCTAGAAACGAGGTAACCCAACACGGAAGGGATGTTCTGCCTGTCGAAGTGCTGTTCATAGAGATGCACGAAGCAGCCGAGAAAGAAGAGGATGATTCCACGCAATGGGTTGTACTCCATCCGGGCCACTTGTGTGATCGTGCCGAAAATGAAGCGGAATGGTCGTAGGAATCCGATTACGACGGCGGCCTTGACCATGCTGCCCAGGTGATATCGCAAGAGCGTGTAAACAAGTTTCCAGAGCGTGGTACCACTCTTCCGTTCCAACTTCGGATCATCAAAGTACCATGTACATGCCAGATAAGAGACCGCAAACTCCCATGCTGCTGTGATCACAGCTTCCACCCAGAAAAGCATGCCTACCCAGCAGATGAAAAATATTATGCTTCCGGTGCAATGCTCCTGGCCACAGTCGAAGCTCAGCACGCGCGCCTGGTGGTTGTAGAATATGCCCGCTGGGGACACCAGGAGGCAAAACAGCATGAAGCTAATCGCGCATGCTCTCGTTAGCAAGACCGCGAGAGGTCCGAGCTGCAACAGAGGCGTGTCTAGTACGCACTCGCAAGAACTCTCAATGCATCCAGCTGCCAGCTTCAGCGTGGTGGCCTGGCCATTTTGATGTGCGGAACCTCAATCCTGAACCATGGAACAACACCAAACTGTCCAAAGCCCTCGGACCCCTCATGCATCCGGCTTGCCGGAACCCTCAAGTCGTGAACAGCAAGATCTTCTGAAAGCAGGACCACGGAGGAAGAGACCAAGCAAGGCAGACGATGATAAGACAGTGCAACAAACGTGCTGGAGTGAAGTCTGCTTATCGTGCCTGCCGATTTCATGTTGTTCCTATATATTCCGCGATACTGCTGAATCCATGAGCACTGTGCGATTGGCAAGACTGTGCTTGGATGACATTGGTCAGCGTTACTACCTGCTGGTAACTATCTTGTCAGAACTGTAGCAGTTGCAAAGCAACATCAGCAGCGGCAGCATGACCAACTAGCACTAGCAGTCACTAGCACCCATCAGCAGCAGTGGCGGCTGCAGCAACAACAACAAGAGTATTATTGGCGACAGCGACGGGCCACCACCGCCACAACGACCACAAACAGCAACACACAATGATGTACACGAACGCTGTCCAAGACTGGCAAAACTGTGCAGGAACGCATCCCTGTACAACAGGTATGACAAAGCACAAACATGTCGGTATGTTTAATGCATGTATGTATGCATGTATGTATACATGTATGTATGTATGCATGCGCGTGTGGGACATACCTACATGCACATACGAAACTGTGTAGTTTAACATGCACAGCTACAGGTCTGGCATGCACATACAAGCATGTACACACGAGTGTATTATGTGTATTACACACACACACACACACACATATATATATATATATATATATATATGTCTATATAATATAATATATACATATGTGTATGTATATAATTATATATATGTATACATAATATATATATATATATATATATATATATATATACATATATACATATATATATATATATATATATATATATATATATATACATATATACATACATCTACATATACATATACAGACGAGCATAACGCATATATGTATCTGCATGTGTATACACTTTCATACAGGTACATGTACATGCATGCAAAACAGACGCACGTACGGTCACGTACCCTTCCATGCTAATGAATAGCTAAATGAATAAAAGCAATTAGCAAATGCATAATACATAGATAGATAGATAGATAGACGGACTCATAGAGAGACTGATAGATAGATGGACAGATGGTTAGAGAGATAGACAAGTAGATGGAAAGATAGACACTGATCGACAGATAGACGGATAGATAGGTAGGTACCTTGGTAAGTAGACAGATAGATTAGATAGACAGACAGATAGCACAAGCTAAATATGTATGTGTGAGTACATATATATATATATGGGTGGTTGTCAAAAGCTCTTATTTAGAAGACGGCACCTGTTATTTAGGGTCCAAAAAAGGGATCCTAATTTTGACAACCACCCAGAGAGAGAGAGAGAGAGAGAGAGAGAGAGAGAGAGAGAGAGAGAGAGAGAGAGAGAGAGAGAGAGAGAGAGAGAGAGAGAGAGAGAGAGAGAGAGAGAGAGAGAGAGAGAGAGAGAGAGAGAAAGAGAGAAAGAGAGAGAGAGAGAAAGAGAGAAAGAGAGAAAGAGAGAAAGAGAGAAGAGAGAAAGAGAGAAAGAGAGAAAGAGAGAAAGAGAGAAAGAGAGAAAGAGAGAAAGAGAGAAAGAGAGAAAGAGAGAAAGAGAGAAAGAGAGAGAGAGAGACAGAGAGAAAGAGAGAAAGACAGAGAGAAAACACACAATAAACAACCACACATACAGACGGGGGCACATGGGCGCTGGAGATGCATCCCAGGAAGACGCCGATCAGAACCAGTGCCCAGCAAAAGCCTTCAGCGTCTCTGCCGTTCATCACCTTACGCCGATTTAGGGTTGAAACCCTTATAGGAACCCGAAACCCTATCGATGTTTCCGAGAACAGAAGACAGACCGAGACCGGCGAAGGGACGGAAGAGCAAAGACATCTCATGGCGCATACGAAACCTCTCTCGATTGAAATTCCCTTCGGCACAGCATAGCCCAAAAGCCTGTCAGAGAATTGTCTTTGGGCCTGCTACAAAGCTTGAGTCAAGAGTGGATTTACGGATGGAGAACGAAGTCGCGTAAAGGAACAATGCCCAAGTCCATGGGATCAGGACGATGACAGCCACACCGGTCATCAAGAGACTCTCGGTATGCTTCTTCAGGACGAAGAGAAGTCTGTAGGAAATGCCGATGCCCACAAGCGCTGCCATCAAAAGAGGTACCCAGAGGCGCCTCAAAGCCACGTATAGCCTAGGCTGCACCCTGGAGACAGTTGAACTTTGAGCTTCCATATTATTTTAAAGAGAAACCCAAACAGTTCAAGTCCCAAGAGCCAACCAGCAGAACGCCAAGTAGCCGGGCCTCTTCCGCAGCCCTCGCATGGTGGACGAAGAGGCGGTTTGCCAACTCAACAGACCGGGGTACACAGAGGTTGCTGATATGAAAGATGCTGGTTTCAGTGGGGTAGTCCAGCGCCTCCGCATCTACGCCCGTGAGGTTGTTGGAACAACGATACTTGGAGTGGTTGCTGGAAGGACAGGACTCCCTGCAAACGGTGAAGGCGGTCTGCAACTCCTTACTTTTGGTTAGTAGGGAATGGAGGAATGGGGCATAATTATAATTACTATCATTACCATTCTTCCATTCCCTACTAACTAAAGGTAAGACTCGCCAGCATTCACGGCGCAGATGTAGGCAAATCGTTGATGCGTCTTGCCCGCAGTTCCACAGATATTCCCCTCGTAGTCAGCAAGCTTGAGCAGAGCTGTAAAGCTCGGGTTCTTGAACCCAAAGACCAAGAGCACCGAAAGAAGAAGCAGAAAGACCAGAAGCCAGGATACGTCCGTGCAGCGCCTCCGCTTCTTCTCGGGATGCTCGTGAGCTAAGATCTCTTCTTTGGTCCACTTCGAGGTGTGCTCCGCCGTGCTGGCAGGAGCCGTTCGGGCCCTGGATAGAACCTCAGGTCCCCAGTCTTCCCAGAGACTCCAATACCCCTTAATTAAGGAATATTCAATAAATCATATTAAGGATCCTACTATAATTTAAGGTATATAAACCTTAATTAAGGATTATTGGAGTCTCTGGGTTCCCTTGTTATGAAGTTCCCTTTATGGGAGTTTCCGAAAACAGGGGTACCTTATTTGGGGGTCTTTTATAATAAGGATCCTACTATTTAGGGTGCATATTAGGGTCCTTTTTATGAAGGGGCAGCTTTGTGAGCGTTGCGTCTACTACTCGATCGGGAGACCCACCAAAAAAAAGGATAACACCCGAATCCAGCATCCTTAACCCTCATCCCACGCCCTACACACCCTAATCCCTAAAACGTATTTGCAAGTTTTAAAGTGTACCCTAAACACTAAACCCTAAGTACGCCTGACCAGCAAGTTTCAAAGTGTACCCTAAACCCTAAATCCAATAAACCCTAAACCCTGAGCCCTAAGGGCACCTTGCTGGGGGCCATGTGACTGGTCGGTCTCTCCCGGGCCTTGAGCTACTGTTCGAGCTCTCATTCCCACTTTCCTCGGGAGCCTGCGGCAGGCGAATTTAGGGTTTATGGTTGGCGGTTGCAGAGTTGACCTTAACCCCCCAAGAACCTGCCTTTGTTTAAGGGTTCCTTTATTAAGTCCCTAAAAATGTACGTTCCTTGGGGTCAAGTCAAGGTACAGTAGGGTTAAGGTTTGGGAGGATGTTGGGCTTGGGTCAGAACCTTCCTTTTCGAGGGACAGGCTAGGGCTTGGACCTTTGGGTGTAGGCCTGGGGTTTCGGGTTTACTAGCTGTCGTCAAAGCTATTTATAATTAGGACATGGTATTAAGCAATGAACGAATTTCAAGATTATCCAAGTCGATACCTGGTTGGGTTTGGGGTTTCGGGTGTAGGCCTCCTCCATGGAGAAACGAAACGGTCGGAAACTCCCATATATCGGGACTACATACAGGGTTTAGGGAGTACAATATACTACATGGGTACATGCATCCTTAGGGTTCTTAGGGCTACATCCGCTGGGATCCCCATGACCCTCTACAAGAGAAGTCTCTGTCTGCCCGTCGGAAGAATATGGGCCAAGTAGAGTAGAACTTTTTTGGGGCGACAAGGGCATGTTGCTACAGACTATCCTGACCCTGACCTCTACTTTTGGACACGTAGTTGGGGTTACGCATCCCGCTGACACACATGCGATAACAAACACAGAGTTTAATGCGTATCTGCTTGTTTATACAGACCTGTACGTTTACAGTATGTCAACGTACCTCATCAAGTACTAATATATAGCGCATAGTGCATCGGTTCGCAAAAGCCATGAGAGAAACACACGGACAGCCAGATCGATAAATGCTAAACCCTCCCAGCTCCCAAGTTCAGAAAACCTAACCCTAACCCCAAGCTCGCGCCTCAGTGGCGGATGAGTCCCCCAGATCTGTGCCATCCTGGGAGAAGGCTTCCGGGTTGAGAGACTGGGGCTTGGTAAGAAGAGCATGAGACAACACTACACTTTAGGCGACTTCGATTAAAAGCATGACCCAATGCGTCTAGAACGCGCTCAACCCAAAACCTGAGTCCCGACCCATTCCAGCACTCCGAAGCACAGGCAAGCTTCAGCTCCGCGCCACCACAGCATGGTGCAGGTCCCACCATGCAGGGTCCAAGCAACGGGGAAAATTGATCAAAATAATATACCTGGACCCCAAAAGTACGGAGAATAATAGCCCTTTATAGGTATGGGGCCATTAGTTTACCTACTTTTGCCTTTTGTAGGTTTGGGGCCATTAGTTTACCTACTTTTGGGGGTCTAGGTAATCACCCTAAACCCTAAATCCTAAACCCTAAACCCTAAACCCTAAATCCTAAACCCTAAACCCTAAACCCTAAATCCTAAACCCTAAACCCTAAACCCTAAACCCTAATCCTTTTCCCGATTTAGCGATTTTCGGAGTTCGGGGCCGAGGGCGGTTTAGGAGGTTGTGGCTTACTAGGATACCCAGTGACCGAAGGGTGTCTAGGATAGGGTTGTTTTAAGGGTTCCTTTAAGGATTCCTTTAGATGAGGGTTCCTTTAAGGGCTTGTAGGGTATAAGGGGTAGTATACTAGGATACCCAGCAACCTAAGAATAAAAAGGCCTCTCTTTTTGGTATTGGGTAACTTTATAAGGAACCTAGGACTACAAAAAGGGAATAAGGGTACTCCTGGGCATCCTAGCTCAGGGCCTTCGGGATTTAGGAGATCACAGCTGCAAGCAGAGCTCTTGGAACTGATCTAAAATATAAGGGCCCTTAATAATTAGAATAGGGTTTGGGGGGGTATACTGCATAATTATACTTCTTCGGGGCCTTAATATTTCGAATAGGGTTTGGGGATATACTTCATATACTGTAATCATAGTAAGGAACCCCCAAAAGACCCTATTCTTACCATTAAGGCCGCTACATTAGGGTGGTGATGCTGCTGTCTCGAGGCCTCGTGCTTCACGTTAGAAGTTTGGAGCTCTCCGGCTCTCCTAAAGTAAAAGCCAGAAAGTTGGTTTTAGGGTTTAGGGTTTAGGGTTTGAAAGTTGGAATATGATTATCCTAAACCCTTTATGGTAAATTATAAGGTATCCTACCCTGAAACCATATTCCAACTTTCTGGAGTTCCCTTTATGTTGAGGATTTGTGGCTGTAGTCAAGCCCGTAGGTAAGACAAGTCATGCGGTATTTGGGCTTAGGATTTAAATTGAATATTTGGTTTAGGGTTCCGGTGTTCAGGCTGTAGGACGTAGGGTTCAGTAACCCTCGAATGCCGAGATCAACCGGATTGAGCAGCTGGTTCAAGGCACTAGGTCAATCTCAAGCCTACAGGTACTGGGAGGCTGCTGCAACAGAGCATCCGGAAGATGCAGTCCTGCTATTGTTGCAACTTGTAGCAGCGGGCTTGTGCTGAGTATTACAGCCACTGTCACGGTCATCAATGAATAGCATGATTGGCGCGGGTTGCTGTATTTAGTTTGCTGCCGATGATGTGGTGATGCAGTGCTACACGCTGCTGGTGCTGTTGTCACTGATGTCGTTGACCATTGCTTTCAAGGTGTGGGCGCGTGGCACGTGAAGCTCGTCGGAAAAACCGTGATGTCATCATTCTTGCTAGGTCAATCCTGTATTGTTACACTTTACACTAGGCAGGACACGATCGCTACGGACACGGCAATTGCTATGAGCCCTACTACTGCTACGACCCGTCAGGACGGTTCTGATGGTGATTCTGTGCATGCCTAGGCTGAGGGGTGCAAGCTTAGGATGCTTGGACTTTAACCTCAATCCTACACAGCCTATGCCCTAAAACCCTCAACAAATTGGCTCGCTGATATCCGTGTCTTAGTCGGGGGAGGGACCCCTGGCCGAAGCATCGAAACAGAACGCCCTTAGCCAGGGTTCTCTGAGCCACTACCTTTTGGGGGTTTAGGGAACCCACACCACAAGCCCTACATCAATCCATAAGCCCGTGTACAAACCGTCCAAGCATCAAGAGCATCCTTATATTACCACAAGCAAGAAACCCCAAGTCCTACTGTTGATGATATAAATCCTGCATTACCTTAATGACCCCAAACTATAGGAATTATCGGACATTCCTTATTATGGGGAATGCAGGATTTATACCATCAACCGTAGGAGCCCCATACCACCCCTAAACGTGAAGCCTATATCCGACAAACCCACCCTCGAACCTTCCCTTCCGGCCTTCAAGGTTTTCTTGAAGCGGGAGAAGTGGGTGCTGATCTGGCGAGGTCTGCGCTTAGATTTGCAGCCCCTTGCAGGATCTACATAGGTTGAGAGTTTAGGTTTAGGATCCTGGAGTATAGGGCTACCGGTTGAAAGTCGGGGGTGCTGCTTAGCTTGGGACGGAGGGCTTATGCTGAATGCAATGTCGGTCGTGTGGCAATGCACACGGCCCGATTTTGGTGGAACAAATTATACCGTGCAAGCTCAGGTTGCAGAGAAACCTTACGCCCCAAACCCTAGGCCCTAAGTCAAGTTTCGGGTTCGGGTCTAGCGAGCACGATCCAGAGCGGCAAGATCCGGGGCTTCAATTGACCCTGAGCCTGACAGCCTAGATCAATTGCCTCGAACACCACCAGCCCAGCACAGGTGCTGTAAGCCGTCGCAAAAACGTGGACCCCAAAAGCTCGAAACCTAAACCCAACGCCCATGCAGTCAAGCCAAGCCGAGCGACGTGTATCAGGCGCATGTTCGTCAGGATGATGACCTGAGATTGCTGAGGATGACATCAGCCTGTGGCCTTTAACCCTAAACTTAAATCTCGAAACAAGTTGGGAGTTCCGAAAATCAGGGGCGCCAGTAAACTACCCTAAATGGTAGGATCCTTATGAAAAGAATGACCAGATAAGGAACCCCCAAATGTTCAGCAACTCCCGTTTCGAGCTAGCTTGATCCGGGGCCGACTGGACGAAGTGCAGGACATAATAAGCAGTGTAGAAGACGGGTTATCAGTGAGACTGCCTCGGTTAACTCAGTGACGGTACGTCTGACCTACCTATACTTGTGTCCTCACCCTTCGGTTCGACTCAAGTAGGGTTGTATCACGACACCTATGCTTGGAGAGTCGGGGGACTTACAAAGGAGCTGATCGGGCTGATCATACTTATGCGCCCATAAAGCAACTACTTACTAAGTCGACAGACCCTCCAAGTGCTGCATCAGCTAGATGGCAACTTCCCGCAACACGTCATAAGAACCAGATAGCAGAGTTTTAGTTTCCAAGTGAAATTGGTTTCCGGCAGCTAGACTGAGCTAGACAGAACCCTTCATTCTCCTTGTGTAGCCACTTGGACCTTGGGGGTAGGGGGAGGGCATGGCGGTTCTGGCGACTGTGGGGCAACTACAAGATAGAACTGTGATCTGAGCACTCGCGCAAAAAACGGTTCATATTGGAGTTTCCGAAAATAGGGGACCATAATATAGTACCCGAAATAATTAGTAGGATCCTTACCATAAGGACCCCAAAATGAGGTACCCCTATTTGTCGGACACTCCCATATTGCATTCTATAATTGCATCGCACAGTTGTTGAGGGGCCTAGATGACCAATGCGTCCGCCACAGCCGTCAAAATCCAAGCCGAGTTGCTCCATCCCGCCGCTGTCGGCGCCAGTGAAGATCTGCAGGTATCAGCACAACAGCGTCTCAATCTAAAGCTCTTCACCCTTAGGTTCTATATACCTGAAACCCTTAAACCCCAACAGAACACATGTACATAATAGCCCTACACTCAGGCCTTCAGCAATCCCTACAGGGTCGCCAAATTAGTTCAGGATATTTTTCCAATGTGGTTCTGTGTTTTTTTGGTTTAATCTGCTGTCCTTGTGGATGCTCCTTTCCAGACAGAACTTGTGCTATAGTTTGTTTTGTTACGGCGTGACCTGTACCTGGAGGAAACCTCGTGTACTGCATTAGCTATGTTTATGGGTTCTGGGCTGTCCTCATGGTTTAAGCCGCAGGGTTTTCGTCTGGGTTCCGGCAGTTGAGGGCTTTGGTGAGGTTCGGCAACTTAGGGATCCAATGAGATCTGCTACCACTGCCAACAAAATCATCATGATCCACATCTAGATAGAAAAGGTTTGTCATATAAGATCGAAAGGCATAATATGATTACGATAGTGTGACATGACATGGTATAGTATGATGCGTCGATGAAAAAGAATATGAGACAATAACATAACATATACATTGGAGAACTACCTGTGCTCGTCGCAAGCACTCTGAGGAAATGGCAATACTCCAGCCCGCAAGTGATCACGATCTTCACTTTGCTGACGATGGGGATAATGATCTGGCAGGATTGATTAGGACTGAGGGCTTAGGCGCTATTGTGCTTGGGGGTTTGACATTGGGTGTCTACGAATTTCCAGGTCTAGAGTCCTGAATGCTCAGGGTTACCCCTCATAGCAAAACATCTCGCTCCCCCCAACACCGATTCTAAATATGACATTGCTTCTGCAGAGCAGTGGTAAGGATCTGCTACGGGATGCTAGCATCAGAAATGGTGTTGCTGAGGCTGTTGCTTTGGGGTATTCGGCGCTTCCTCCCTACCTCGCCAAAACCCTGAACCCTAGCGACCACTCCTGAAACCGTATTCCTTGTGATTCAAACAGCCCGAGGGGAGCTAATGCCCCTGCTGATGATTGCCCACGGGCCCACGGACCAAGTAGCTTGTAAGCGTAAATATATGCTCCCTTCTCAAATAGCCGAGCCCAAAACAAGTTCAAACTTTCTAAAATAGCCCAAATATACAGGGCCAAACAGTTTAAAGTTCTCCCATTGGTTAAGTAGGTACTGTATGACATTTGTAGCTCAGGGAGATAGGGACGGATAGATCAAGTCTGACCGCCAACTACGTCCACACTGGTTGTGAAGCTGTGGCCAAGGCCCCCCAGCAGAAGCAGCAGCAGCAGCAGGAGTAGTAGTAGTAGCAGCAGCAGCAGGAGTAGTAACTCGATTGAAAGGATACTGCGAAACCTGTCTGTCAGTGACATTTGCGGCTTATCTTTGCAGGCTTTCCCATGGTCTACACCGGAGCGCTTTTGGCTTGGCTTGACGAGATTTTACAGAAGAGGCTACCAGGACGA